TTGATTATCGTCGAACTATTTTATCGTGGAACTCGATCGGGTCTACTAATTTCGTGACTTTGGTACAAGTGTATCTGATATAGAGAATTATTTGAGATATTCGTACAATTTTATATATTTTTTGTTTTTTTCAAGGAGATCCGTGAACCACAAAAATGCATGTAGGAAAACAGGAAGAAACGCGCTAAACTTAAATGTTAGTTACTGGCCTAGACGTTCTTTGCTGGGTAAATAATTTTTTGTTTATTTCCAACGATTTAATTAAATATTTGATATAAAATGATTTATTTATACGTTATAAAAAATAAGAAATAATAGCGCGTGTAGCATTCTTAGTATCCGCGCAATTAACACCTTGGACTTTCAATATAGCAATTAATTTGTATAAATCACCAACGAATGATTCCTTCGAAACAAATATCACTTTTCGCACAATCGCCGAATCAAACGACAATCGAAAAATGCCAATTACAGGCGCGATCTTCATACTTCCCGGTAATTACTCAATCGAACGCGATTCTGAATTATTCATCCGTTCGGTTGTCTAGACACGCCCTCTTTACTAGTTTCTATTCAGCAATTATGATAAAATGTCGCGAACTACATACATATAGTAGTTGACGCGTCTGGATTTTGCCATTACCATTCTATCGATTGTTCTGGTATCACATCGGATTGGACCAAGAAAATACGCGCAGTTTCTACTCAACCATAAATTTCCATGAAACTAACGAGTCCGAGCAAACTTATGGCGCAATGTTGCCCATATTCGTCTCGTTGTGAATATTCCAATGGTCATAAAATTGGATAATTAGGATGAATTTGGAGTATTTTGTGGGTGATAATAGACCAAATGGCGTATTATGTATTAGAACGTTCGTATAGACTCAGCCATGTAGACAAAATTAGGTGCGGTAATATTCAAATTGAACATGGAACGATGAATTAGTAAAAGACGAATCCATTGTATTCGGTGTTCAGGAGGATCTCGGGAGACGAGGAATTCGTAACATCTTTCTCTCTACTCGAGAATATAGTCATTATTTGATCTGCAATTATTAAGCATACAGTAAAATATAGGATTACTGAAATTCATGAGATCGGAAAGAGAAACACTAAATTGATATTAATTCGGTAAAACTTCACCCCTTTAAATATTCTTGTTTCTTAAAAATGTATGATCAATCATCAGAATAATCGAGAATTCCCTATATAATCACCCTTTCGGGAAGTTTATAGGGAAGTTTCTTTTTCACTGTGGTGCAAATGGCCAAAATTTCAATAAAAAAACCGAATGTATAAGGTCTATGGGTGCAACAAAGACAACTTCTATTAGTCCCCATATAAAAGAAGAAGAATGATATTGTGGAATTGCAACTTTATTACTCTATCCACTGTTGTTTTAATAATATTGCGTTGTTCAACTCATAGAATTGACTAGAAGATAGAATTGACTATATTGCAAACAAATGTGCACTTAGGTTAGGTTAATAAGTGAAAAGAAAAATATTGAACATATTGAGCAACTAAAAATAAAATGTTTATATTATAAAGTGATTCAAATAAGTGTAAATCTAAAGAAATATAGCGGATTTTCAAGAATTCGAAATTCTAGTATAGCGTTATATTTAGAGTGCCTAGTTCACCATTTAGACCACCCTCGTCGAGAAATTTAATTAAACACCGCAAGAAAGTTTTTCCGGTTTTCGTGCTTCGCCCGAAAGGAAAATAATTCCAATTTTCCTACCGAATAAAAGTGGAGAAAATTGGGCGTTTTTCAGAGAGATCTCAACAAAAGGGTTACGTTTTAGTCGCCTCGGGGCTTTTGTGCTTTTAAATTAATCGGCTGTTGCGAGTAAAATAGAAATTTACTAATTTAACGTGTTTAAAAAAATTGGATCATTTGTAATAAAATGTATAAATTTTGATGATTCAATTCGTCAGTTCGAGAAACGACACACGTGCGTATTCGAACGTTCGTTCTAATATCATATCATTTCTGCGAAGCAAAAATCTACGTGTTTTACAAAACGTTTGCTATAATTGGAAATAAATATCCCGGCTTTACATGATTTCATAAATACCAATCTTATTTAACAACAATTTCTATTTACCTATAAAACGAATTCCTGCACAATTAACCTTTTCAACAACTACGCAAATACAAGTATAATAATTTAACAAATTACCTAATACGACATTTTTATTCTGCTACTTAAATTGCTTGCTTTGATTTAATTTTCCTTCAGATTAATTTCTTATAACTAATAACTCAACGGGAGAATTTACCACCCAGGCACATCCGATTGGATAAATGCTATTGCAATGAAATATACTGTGCCAGAAATCGTGTAACACCAAGCTGTGTTCCGGAGGGCCGGTACTAATTCATACCGCTCAATCAACCGTGTATAAATTAGATATATCGATTCCTAGCAGTAATTATTCAACCAGAAACGAACCGACAGATAGAGAAAAAGAAATTTTCACGCGATTTATGGGTGCGACAAAATACGATCGCAATTTATAGGTTTTTTACAGATTTATTGTTCTTTCGCGTTGATTTTCTTTCATTAACTTAGGTAATTTAATTTTTCCGATATACATGTAATTCCACACCAGAATAAATTGAATATTCATTTACATAACTGTACACAACTTGTACAAATTAAATACTTTACAAAGAAAAATATAATTTTTAATCAATTAATTCATTAGGTACTGATATAATTAATTTGGTTGGTCCCATAAACTGTTCCAGCGGTGTTCCTGTAGAACGAGATACGAATTTGAAAAAAAAGTGATGATTAATCATCATTTAATTAAATATTACAAAAGGTAAGTGTGATGAAGACGGACCATAAAGACATAAATAACTAGAAACTTGAATGAAATTCTGGTTTTGGTACACCCACGATTCGCCATGGACGTAGATTAAGTTGATTCACAATTTTCATTTAATCAACCATGGAATTTAATTTCGTTCGATAATATTGAATTCTCTAATAAAAGAAACCTAATTAAATACACGTAGGTACTTACAATTATTTACATTAATTATCCAATCCCAATATGTAAATTAAGCTATACACTTTTTAAATTAATCTGACTTGAAAAGTAAATTTATATACCTTCGACCTGTCGTGTATTCATTTGCTTTAGATATTTCTTTAGTGTAAGATCATACATTACAAATACCATAACCTATCCCAATATGTATTTCATGCAATCACGTTTTATTTAATAAACACTTCATTTTATCTCCTTCTTCTAAAAACTATCTACTTATTCATAAACCTACATCAACCAATCGCCCTGTACAATAAACTATCAATTAAAGCTCATTAATTATCTTAAACAACAAGTTTATATCACAATTATTTTTAACGATTCTGTAATGTGATATGCGTCAGGGGAATTGTTTTAAAATTTGATTGTATTCAGGAGGCGTGTGCACTTTTTCAATGACGTATTGAATTGGGTAAGTAATAACAATTGTTTTGTGTTTTACTTACAGGACGTGTAGGTTTCGAAGGGAATGAAAAGATGTAGAAAAATATTAAATTTCATACACATAAAAATCATATTCTATAGTCAGTTAGGGATTAGCGAATGAGTGTTGTAAGAATTTCCACTGAGCGTTCACTAAAATGAGTTTAAAAATAAAAAATTGTAAGTTTCGAAAATGTCTCACCTTGTATACATTTTATGAATGACTAACTAATAAATGACATGGTCAAGAAGGCATTGAAAATCGTCTCACGAACGATTCATTGAAATCATCGAGGAAATTGAAACATCTGTTCCAGTTTGATTTACTAATCGTGGAAAATGGAAAATTTGTCCTTTTGATCTTACATTATTAACGTTGTAGTTTTGCAAGGTTGTGAAATAACTTCCTCGAAATATTGAACAACCAAAATTAATCTTATCTGCATTTTATTTAATGTTGAATATCATTAATTGTGCGAATCAAAATCTAGGGACATTGATTTAATTTACCGACATTATGAAGGTGATTATAAGATTTCATGTACAGAAATAGTTTCTTGTGGAATTTCTGTATAATTAGGCTAGTTGATTTTAATGTAGAGTTGTAAAATCATAGAGTGATATTAGAAATAGGTTCATCTAATCACAAGTTTTTGATTCATAAAAAAATGTTTTAATTTGGTGTACTAAAAATTAAAACTATGTCCATAAGTTATATTATTTTACCAGTTTTACCTACTTATACCTACGCACTTCCTTATTAATTATGAATTAAAACATTTCCTCAAATTTCTTTAGCAAATTTTATGAATGAAGTACAATTTCTTGTAATCCACTCATAGGCAACTCAAAAATCAAAACACATAATTTGGTTGCCTACTAATAAATAAATTGGTAAGAATATAAGAATTATTTACGATAATAAAAAATAGTCATTAAAGTCTTAATAAAACCATTGTTATTTATAATCGAAAAGTAATTTATTTATGTCCTGTTTTTTGTCAAAAAATTTGCAGTAGGTACTTGTGATATGCCCAATTGTGTTACTACAACAAGCAATAATGTTACTAGGATATAAAAGAAATTTCTTTTTAAATGATTTTTATGTTAATTTTGATCAAGTAACAGTAAAAAAAAACAAAAGAAATTGCCGAAACCCGGGATCGAACCAGGGACCTTTAGATCTTCAGTCTAACGCTCTCCCAACTGAGCTATTTCGGCACTTGCACGTTGTTAAAGCAAACTATTATGTAACTTAATGAAGACCAAAATTTAATTAACACAATAATTAATCATAAAAATACGATCATTTAATTAAACAAAAATCTATTTAATTCGTTAAAATTTTTAACGTACGTTTTAAAATTCAAGGAATATCGTCCCTTCGTTACGAGAAAAAAAATTAAAGAAGAGGATATGTTAGTTAGGCAATACTCATTACACCTACGTTTTGTCAAAACGAGGCTACATTTTCAACTCGAATACCCGCGACGGTTCGAATGAAGAATGAACGGGGAAAGGAAAAGTAGTTGTTACAACCTCGGACCACGAGAAACAAGAATCCTACAAGCGAACTGCTGTGCAGACACTGGTATATCCGCCAGACCTGGTTGTAACTTCTACCGGTTCTTTGTAGTACATCATTCACCGAAGAGTAAACTCCATTACCCACTGACTTAACTTATCTGAATATATTTTAATGTCGATTTAATAGCCCGATTTTTTAACGAAATTCTAACAAATGAGTGATACTTGGTTTGAGGACTTGTGGACTATTAAGTAGTAACGTGTTTTTTTATTGTGTGATACTTTTTTTCTGTTGATCTACTTTTGAAGATCATGTGTGTATTTTAAGTAGCCAACGTACATTTCTGCTAAAACATAAGGTAAATTAACAATTCTTATAATAATTTCTCGAATACAACGTAATATTATCTGCATTTTCCATATTATTGCTTGAGGGAGATTCTAAACAATTGTTAATATAATAATTTTGATATACACTGTATACTTTTGCAGTTTTAAAGCTGTTTAATAATTTTACAAAGTTATAGAATTTGTAGGATATCCAATACAAATTTTGCACACTTTTAGCTCAAGAATTTACACATTTACACCCCTATAGTAACTCTTTTAACAACTATATTTTCTAGTCAAAATAACGTTCTAAAATATATTTTATGTGTTACAAAATAATGTTTTAAACCCACATTTCTTTAGATAAAATTCCATTAAATTTTTATTACATTAGGATATATTTTAAGGGGTATTCCTTTAATATAATCAACCTTGAATCTACTCCACCGCATTAATTCGATCAATAGCATTCGAACTGTATAATAAGGCGCTTTAGAAAGCGCGCCCGAATGAAATCTATGCGTTTGAACGGTTAAAAAATAATACGACTTATTACACGGATAACCGCAAACAATTAAACCTCGCTATTGATGAAAAGTGAAATTTAATATGCAAAAACCCGAGGAATTCATTAGGTTCATCGATGCTAAAATAATCAACGAACAGGGAAGAAAAGTTTTAGAAAAGCACATGCACAATTATTAATGTCGTGTGAAATTAAATAGGTACATTTTTTCAACTAATTAATAAAGGTTTGTTGAAGAATTTTTGTAGAAAATGTCCTGCATAATACGGAGTGTTGTTTACTTGGAATATATTATAAGTGCATCTTCTAATGATACTTCTTCCTACACGGGATAATCAAAATCCCACATTGAATACTTGAAATTCCTCCAATTTCCAATCAATTTCCACGTAAATATTTTTATTAAAACGTTCCACTAAGCTGAATATCAAAATAATATGTTTATCGATATAATTAAACAAAAAAAATTACATTATTATGCACCAAACTGAGTGGAAAATCTACAATGTCGAACGAATTAAACCGTAAACAATTGAATGAATTCAACGTTGTTCTTTTGTTAATATTTAAAACGCGTTAAATATAGCCGAGTGAGTGTCTTTCTTTTTATTATACAGGTTGTCCTCTTCTTAAACATAATTTTATAATGTGGATTTAAAAAGTCTCTATTTGTATGAATAAATTGCGAGTTTTTCTCACGCAAACCTCTTCTACGGTCTGTCGCGGCGCGTTGGCGAAACTTTTTCTACGTTAAATAATATACTAAGTATATCGATTGTGCAAATTAAGTAAAAGGCGATCGATAGTATTCCGCTCGAGTGCAACCTCGTTAACCTTATGAAAAGTGTAACTTCCAACCTACGTTTGAATCGGTGAAACTTTTTAGCGTAAATTTCGTCAGTTTCGTACGGGCATTTGATTTAATGACCGCTCAATAGGACGAACGAGTCGAAGAAGAAACGTGCTTAGTGGAACATGGTGTAACCTTTGACTCCAGCTTTCTTTCGAAATCGAAATTGATATTTAAATTCCGCCGAAAATCGCGCTGGATTTTCCTCTCGATTTTGATTCTCATGGTCTCAATAATTTCGAGACAGCCTGTAAAATTTTTAAACGATTGTTTTTGATGTTTATTGCCTCTTATTCTAATTATGGATCTGATTGCGATAAATTAACGACCTTTCGTCAAGTGTAACGAGGTCGAACTATTTTTTTTACATTTAATAATAATTGATGCTACTGAACTGTTGTCATTTTCTCGCGTTAATACAGAAAAAGAGGAAACGAGATTTTCATCTTATCCTCGAATCGGCTAATTTGAATAAAATTAATACGCAAACGAAACGAAATCGAAAGGAGGAAAATTATAGAATGCATTCTTGAGAACCAACGATGTATTGAGAAAAACAGTATAATGTTTCAACAATTTCCAGTTTACATTTTCTCAGTGAAATCCGTTGATTTCAATTATATCTGTTATCTCTATTTCAAGCAGTATTACAAATCGTAAATAAATGTTGATTTTGTTGAATCATTCATAACTGTAAAGATTTTTTCAGTTTTCCAAAATATTCTACAGTATTTAATGCATTTAATTAGTCAACCAGTTATTGAAAGTGGTTCTTGGAACAGAAAAGGTTCCTTAATGTTCCGGTGAGTCATTTCTTTACAAGCCACAACCAAGGATAGGTTAATATAATTCTGTATTTAAAACAAGCGAGGGAGGAGACATTTCCTTCGGATAAACCAGTTTATAAATAAAGTGAGATGTAAATTTTAATACATGTGAATTCGACTAGGTAGAATGTTCCCATCAATCTAAGTTGTTTCGCAAATTACGGTCATTACAATGAAACCCCCCGATAATTTTCTGATTGCGATTTTCCCATGCCTAATTCAAAAAAAGCACAGAGAAGTCCTCCGATGCACTTTCACTCAATTGTGAAGAAAAAAACGCGCCGGTACACCTATCAATTATCATTCATTCATCGAAACTAATCGATCTCTGACTAATGTTCTCAATTGTATCGAATTAAGAAACGGGTAATTAATCATTAACTATACAGGGTGAGTACTGATTTAGCGGCAGTAATAAATTGAATCAGATCAATATAGCGTGTAACAGTTTATTGAATTAAATCGTTTCGATTGGAGATTTTTATTAAGAACGCGACGAATGCGAAAATATAAATACCTACATAACGGAGACAACGTTCACTTTTCTGAATTTCACAGATTAAATGTTATTTTAGGTTTCTAGTACAACTGACAACACGAATTCGACTTTTTACTTGTGCAAAAAATGCAAGTAGAAAACAGTTATTAAAAATATTACATAAATCGAAACCAGGAACTGCTTTAGAAAATAACGCTCATTTCGCACAGCAAAAATTGTTACTTTACTGCCAAAAATTTGCACGAAATTCTAAGCACTCATGCTTCTTTGTATTTTCCAGAATGATTTTGAGGTATTTTGCACTGCCAGCCCTAGTCATTTCATCAGTATTTATTTTAACGGACGGACACGGAAGATTGATAGAGCCCCCGAGCAGAGCATCGGCTTGGAGGTACGGCTTCGACACGCCTCACAATTACAACGATCACGAACTATTTTGCGGCGGATTCACCAGGCAATGGGTGAAGAACGAAGGAAAATGCGGCGTGTGCGGAGACCCGTGGGATTCCAGGTGAGTTCTCCCTACTTTAACTGAATCCAATTAGCTATTCGTTTCGTGCAGGATACCTCGGGCTCACGAGTACGGCGGCACTTACGGGAAGGGTATCATCGTCAGGAAGTACAAACCGAACGGCGTCATAACCATACGGGTTGAGATAACCGCCAGCCATTGGGGTTACTTCACGTTCTCGATTTGCCCGAATTACAAGAACCCCACGCAGGAGTGCTTGGATAAGAACGTACTCGAGATAATCAAACCGCAGGAGAACGTGGAGCACGATGGCGTGAAGTACTTTCCCAAAGACGGGAATAAAGTCTACGAGATGAAGTATAGATTGCCAAAGAAGAGCTGCGAACATTGTTTGTTGCAGTGGAGATATGTAGCAGGTAAATATCGCTGTATATTATACGAAAAATATCTATTTTTTTGAAATTTTTGAAGGTAATAATTGGGGTCTGTGTCCGAATAACACCGGTGCAGTGGGTTGCGGTCCACAAGAGGAGTTCAGAGCGTGTGCAGACATATCAATAACAGGCAAAATGGGCGAAGAGCCGCTCGAACCAGAAATTGAAGAACCCGTTACGATTTCATCGACCACCGTTACAATACCGACTCTATCGATACCAGAGGAATCGTACAATCCTTTGTCCGCCCTGCTCATTTCGTTCGTGTCTTTTTTAGTGGCTTTTTCGATATTATTCCTACTCTACTTTCACTTCTACCAGCTTGGTAGCAACGTCAAAAGGTGGATCAAAGGGCCGCAGGAGAAGGGACCGTTGAACTTGCCGCCGCGACCGCCCCCCAGAGCCCGCAGGAGAAGTCCTGCGCGGCGGGTGAGCGCCGATGAAATGCACGACGTGGACTTGAGAACCGAAAGTTTGGCTTGAATTGTTCTAAATTCGAAAAATTGCACGTGATTCTCGTAGGTAGAATGGAGAATTCACTTCAAGAATAGTCACTAAGTTTAAGCTGTAAACGGATTATTTATCTTAAGTGTGTTGTTGTATTTTATTGTTTATCGTTAGAGATGTAAATAAAATGAATATTATTCAGTTATCGTTGTTATTTGGAATTATTATTATTTCTTCCAAAAGTTGTTGAAATTGGATGGCCTAATAAAAGTAGACCTAAAAAAGAAGAAAAAGAGAAGTATAATTAAAAAAAGAGATGGTGTATGAAATGTCATTGTTCGGATATTAATAAAGATGGAGTTCTCCGATTAATAATCAGTTATTTAATAACAGTTTAATTTTTGGAAAAAAAAGTTAATAAGATTAGCTTGTGTACATTACAATAAATATTAAAATGAATTATTTTAATTATTGTAATAAAGTAGTTTATAGAAGATTAAATTTCTGGATTAATAATAAATTAGTATGGCAAACCTGTTCCAATCGGAATCTTCCACCTCTAAACAAATAGTGTTGTGTGTTTGGCTGTCAAAATCCGTTCTGGTTCTGTGACGTTTGGTGTTTCGTGGTTTTATGATGTTTTCTTTTATCTGTGTGGGGGTCATATTTAGAAAATAGTGTAGTTGCAAAATTATACATAGTTCTCTCATTTCTGATTATTGCGAGCAAATTTCTGCTTGTTTATTGACAAAAGGTGTTCGAATCGAAATCGTCAACATAACACACGTAGAACATTGATTGCTCAAACGATTTGCAGTGACAGTTCATAAACTCGCAAGGAAAGTGTAGTGAAATGGCGTCCGAATTAAGTAAAATTCAATAAAAAAGTCACGTCGATCAGGCAGTTTGCGTCCGAATAATTTATCGAAAGCGAACGTTTGGTGTTTCCTAAAACCGATAATGGCGAATACGAAGGCGACGAGCAGCGCCCTGAGGGCTTTGGCCGTCGAATACAAAAGCCTGCAAGAGGAGCCAGTCGAAGGTTTTTGCGTGAAACTCGTCAACGACGATAATCTTTTCGAATGGGAAGTTGCTATTTTCGGCCCGCCAGATACCCTCTACATGGGCGGCTGTTTCAAGGTAAGTTTTGTCCGCGTGTCCCCGTAATTAGACTACGATTTCACGTCGATGTAAACAAAGAACTTTCATTGTTCGCGACTTGTCTTTTACCGTTCGTTCTTCGGTGATTCAGACTCGTAAAAGTCGAATTGAAATTGTCATTAGCTTCTTTGTCTGCGATATTTTCGCATTATCATTTAACAGCTAATTGAATTGTTTCGCTGTTACTAATTATAGGAAAATAAAACTAGGAATAGTCATAGCATATGCGTTGCTTAATTTTTTTTGAAAGTGTTTTAGATTTTATCCAAATATTTTTAATGCAAACATGATGTAACTATTTTTTTTTCTGTATACGATTATTAGGTCGAATGCAATAGGATATTTAATTTTATTGCGTAATATTAATTTAAAACATTTATCGTGTAAATATGTTTATTAAACAAAACAAAAACCATTAAGAAATTGTTGTTTATATTTCAGGCAAGGATGAAATTCCCTCCGGATTACCCTTACTCGCCACCTTCGATTAGATTTCTAACGAAAGTCTGGCACCCGAATGTCTATGAGGTAAATTTACTTGGAAACATTCACTCGATACAATCTAATATAAAATTTTTATTGTAGAATGGAGATTTGTGTATAAGCATTCTTCATCCGCCTGTAGATGATCCCCAATCAGGAGAATTACCTTGTGAACGTTGGAATCCCACGCAGAACGTTCGTACAATTTTGTTATCTGTTATTTCGCTTTTAAATGAACCGAATACTTTCAGTCCCGCTAATGTCGACGCTTCTGTAATGTACAGGCGTTGGAGAGATTCCAAAGGCAAAGACAAGGAATACGAAAACATTATAAGGTAATTAGAACTCGAAATTTTTGATCCCTCGGTTCTAACGGGTTTATTATTTTTGGGTTTCAGAAAGCAAGCTATGGCTGCTCGAGCTGAAGCTGAACGGGACGGTTTGAAAGTGCCCCTGACCCTCGAAGATTATTGCATTAAAACTCGAGTGAAGCCGAGCAATTCCGAGCCATCGGTAGAAATGACAGATTTCTATGATGATGATTATGATGAGGAGTACGATGATTTGTCCAACGGTTCCGAGTACGGAGAAGAGGACGATAATGACAGTGGAAACGGAGAAATGTGATGTCGTTAAATCAAACAATAAAAACGAACCTTCTCGAATATTGAATTATATTTTTATGAAATCGTGTTTGAGTTAGCAAACCATACGAAATAGGCTTTTGTTTATAAATTGAATATATATTTTTTTTCTGTTTAGGTGCATGTGTATAGTCATAAAATGTGAATGATTGATCGCCGGCTGTTTCGAAAATATTGTTTTAGTTCAATTTTACAATGAAATAATAAATTTTAAGTTAATCATACTTTCGATTATAAATTGCTGTTAGCGAGCGTAAAAAATAGTTCGTGCTAAACTGAAAAGAATTTTGTTTTTCGTTTGTATACTGTGAATTTTCCCTCGGTGTCAATTGTAGTTCCTTAAATTTAAATTACGCGCTTTCTGTTGCTATTTAAAATTGTACGCTATTCGAAATGTTCTGTAGTAATTTCAAATTTTCGCGTTCTACCTTCTTATATGTAATCAATTTTATTGAACATTGAATGATTGGCTAAGTATATACGAAATATTTTAGAAACGAACGATTCAAATGTATTGTTAATAAGTATTCAGTGATTTACTACTTAACAGAACTTTTTACTTAATATTACTTGATAGCTTTATTAAATGTATATTTCTAAGTAAAATAATCTGCTAAATACTAAATCAACGAACATTGAATAGGTTACTGTTCGAGAGCGAGTCGAAGGTTTTTCTTAGAGATTCGAAAAAATTATAATTAAGTTAAAATTTTAAATTATTTGTAAACGGCATCCATTGAGCAAATTGGTATTCAAAAATCATTAGGAACACAACCATTGTCCAATATTTTACAAATCGATTAATTTCGCAAGAAATTTATCTCTGTAGTTTGATGTGCATATGAATGTTATTAACTTCTTTTAGACGGTTTTTAATGTAGACAAGAATTAGATGTTTCATTGAAGGATATTACATGCTATTTGTTAATTTTTATTCTCTGATCTCATTCTATTCAAGTTAACCTTTAATTGGTGTTTGTGTAATGTACGGTGTCTTCAAAGGATAATTTGATTATAGCTATGTATTCGAAGAAAAATTTATTATTATCAAGAATAGTTTAAACTTAACTTTTATGCATAACATCACAGTTAGAGTGGTAAAAATGATTATGAAACCACAAAAGGCAACATAGCTATAATTAACACTGTATATATATTTTATTTCAATTGTCCTGTAGATTCCAGATAAAATCTGCGATAAATGTATTAATATAAATGTATATATAGCGTACGTAATGTAATTGGAATGGAATGTCGATAAAGTTAATTTCACTTAGAAGAATTTCATTATTACCCCTATTTTGTATGAAATAGAAAGAGCTATAGAAGTAAAGGTTTAATCAAATAATTCCAATGATTAATATTAAATCTGAACTAGAATAACTATAATGAGACAAACATATTTAATGATGGTGTTCTGCAGCTTCCTTCCTACGTATTTCCGCCCATTTGGCTACATTTTCAGGAGAGTTAGCTAGAATTAAAAATTAAAGAAATTAATTACAGTTAATTTATCTACGATTAATGTAATACGTACCGAGGTTACTGATAGATTTGAAGACTGGCATACAAAGTACCAAAGAAATAGCGTAGTATTTAAAAATCCACTGGTTCTTCAAGTAGTGCCTCAAAGGAAATTGCATGACTTTGGCAGTAAAGGTGTACGGGTACTTCATTGGTCTGGAAACCTTTGCGGCTGCTTTGTCGGCCATTCTGATCTTCCTGAAACATAAATACCTTTTAATCCCGGCATGTAGCACTAGATACCAGATTTTCGACGAAAATTTACAAAATGTGGAAAGAAATATTTAAATTCAGTACTTAATTAACTCTAAGGGTGAAAATGTTTTCCAAAGTTTTTCCATTTTTTCCATTGTTGCGTTATATTGTCGCAAAATGCAATTTACAACAAATAAAATATACTAATTCTAGTATATTGGATGGAACTGTCAAGTCAATAAAATCATGCAGGCCTACTGCGATTTTTACGTAATCATCGAACTTGGTATTAAAATCCATTCTAACGATTCTTTAATAGTGAAATAATTGATCAAAATACCTCACAATAGTGGCAAAAATATTAATAAATGGGAACAATTAATTAAACGTACCTTATGTAAGAATTTTCCAAATTTATGAAGGTAACCTTTTAACTTGCAACGCCTTCTATCTCTGTCTGAAATGAGCGATCGATATATGAAATGACTTCTTCTTCTTCCACATATGGCCTCGGCTGTTAAGCTATTCGGTCTCTCTGAGTGAAAGCTAGGTTACGGTGGCTGACGGTGCCAATCAGTTTTGGCCAGATTTGATTTTCCCTGAATCCTCGAAGAAACAATCCTTACTTGTTGAGCAAAATTTTTGCTTAAAAATATTTTAGTAAAAAAGGTTTTTATTTGTACATTTGGTCATTTTTGGGAGTGAATTGAAAAAAATATATTTATTTAGAGATTACTTTATTCTGCAATAAATTTTATTGAAAGTTTTGTGAAAAACTTTATTAAATACTAAATTTCCGTATTGCATTGTAGAAAAAAAAGAAATAATATATAAATAATAGAACTTAAATGTAACAAATCCGTACTTAAGTGATAAGTTAATATCAATGATCAATTCGATAACTAATATTAAATATACTTTACCTTTTTCCTTATTATTTCGCCACATCTACTTAATCAAGTCACTCGGTATATTTTTTTCACAAAATAATATTAAAAAAATAAACATTATAAGCAAATAACTTGCATTTCGTAATAATTATTTCGGTTCAATATTAACAGTTTTACCAAAAAACCAAATTAACCATTCGAAATGCAATTTTCACTCGAAATAAAACCGGGTTTTTACCGAATCTTCGTTACAAAAGCGCGTCACATTAGAATAAATGAATAAAAAAACGCGCGTAAATGTATACAGTGTCCCAATTTTAAAGGCGCCCATTAGAATTTTATGCAGATGGAATTAATTTGTTTTTCTAGCGATTCTGTAAAGGGAAAGGCTCTTTCGAATTAAAGTCAAAGTAACTCCAACCCCAAAAAATTCTAACGCACGTCTTACACTTGGGACACTCTGTGTATAAGTATATACAGGGTGTTTCATTGGTAAAGGGAAGCAACACCCATACTGTACGGATATTTTTGTCACCTCCATATACCGTTAAAATAATTCCCTTTCGCAATGCGTTTTCGCGACACCCCGTATAAATATATGCATACATATTACACATAAGAAAATAAAAGCTAATTCAATCGTTGCGACGCGGGCAACCGTTTCTTCGACCCCGCGCCGCCCCTACGCCTGCCGCCGCCGCTGCTGCCACCGCCGCCGTGCGTCGCCAGCCAATGTTCGTAATGCCGCTCGTTGGCCAGCCAATCCTGATACTTGTACCACCACTCCTCCCATTTGACGTAATCGTCGAGCGAGAGGTCCCGCAGATAGCCGAGGTCCTTGTAGTGCTGATAGCGCACGCGCACGTCGTCCCAGGCGGCCGATCGCGATGGATTCGACGACGACAGTTTGTCGGGAAAATGGCCGATCGGCACCGGCGACAGACTGAAATTTTGTATCGTTAATATTCACCCTTTCGTCGTGCGTTATAACGTGATTTACCTGTATCTCCTCGGGGGACTACCGTACAAAAATTCGTCCTCTTCCAGCAGCACCTTCATGTTGCCGCCGGTCTTCGTTATTTTCATGTTCTCCATCTCCCTTCGCTCCCTGTCGGCGCTCCATTGGGCTATTTTGCCGAATCGCTCCGACAGCGTCAGGCTGGTGGTCGACACGATGGGAGCGGGCACCGCCCCGGCGCCCGTCCCCCCGCCCGAAGACGGGCCGCCGCTGTCTCCGGAACAGGAGGATTCGGCGCCGGGGGATCCCGCCCTCGGGCCCGTCCGTTCCTTCTTTATTCGCTTCAATAACATCTAGAAACCGAGAAAAAACGATAATTAGTCGATAAAAATCAAGTATTTTAAATAGGACACCCAATATATTCTCACATTTTGACTTTAAGTCCTCTTCCGATGTCCCTTTATAGTCATATTAGTAAAAAAATACTCACCGGTTTCGCGATGGCCTTCTCGCCGGGCACCTTCTTGCCGGCCGCCCCCGGCTTGGGCGGCTTCACGCCCGCCCCCAGGTCGATTATCTCGCCGGTGCCGCCTCTCGGTCGAGGCGGCGGCGGCCGCCTCCTCGGATCCGTCGGCCTGTCGGAAGCGGTCGATTTTTGCGGTTTGCGCGCCGCCATCTGCGGCGGCGGCGTGACGGGTTTCGGAACGCGGCGAGGGGCGGCGGAGGCGGGCGAAGGGGGGCGGACGCCGCGCGGTCGCGCTTTGCTCGACGACGCGACCGTTTTCGACGGCACCTTGCGCGGCCTCGGCGGCGGAGAGAACGATCTAGATCTAAAAAATAACAATAATGTATACAGATGCGTGGAAATTTGTATGCAATATGGTCAATTCTGCGAGTTGAACAAAGAAAGATTATTAAAAATAACAGTGGATAGACTGAGTAAGTTGCAAGCCCACAACATCAAGCTTTCTTTTTCCTTTATATAAGACTAATAAAAAATTGGCTTTGTTGCACCCATAGACCATATTGCGTACAAAGTGGCATTTATGTGAATATACAGAATGTCCCCAAGTGTAAGGCGGGCATTAGAACTCTGAGATGGCCATGAAAACACGAGTTAACTCGTGGCCGGTGAGCGTGAGACACGCTCGGCCGTCAAAAAAAAAAGAACACGAGTTAACTCGTAAAAAAACGCGATATAAAGACGATTGTAAAGTTATACCTGGACCTGGCGCTGCGATGTCCCTTTGGGGGCGAACATACTGAACAAGAATCGTCCTGAACAAACCGTCGTGCTAGCTACACACACACACGCACCGAGATCTCAATTTAGCGCGCGCTTCGGCGACGACGGCCACGGAAACACGTAGTCAACTCGTGACCGGTTTTTCGGCAACGTTTCGGCCGTACAAAGGCCGAATTCACGAGTCGACCCGTGCGAAAACGCGAATAGTAATGTTGGTTATCAAGTTACCTGGACCTGGCGCTCCGGTGCCCTTTGGGCGAACACACCGAACACGAATCGTCCGAACAGCTGCTGATCGAGCTGTTCGACGCCGATCTCTTTTTGTCGCGCCTCGGCGACGGCGGCGATCGAGGCGGCCGCCTGTACGCCGCCGGTGGCGGAGAGGCGCGGGACCGGGACCGCGAGCGGGGCGGCGGCGGCGACCGCGCCGACCTCGACGCGTACATCGACGACGACGACGACGGCGGCGGCGACGAGCGGCGCATCGGAGGCGCCTGCGGTGGCGGCGGCGAGGGACGGCCGCCGCCGCGTTGACGGCCGCGCGAGCGGTCCTTGGACGGGGAGCGGGACCGGCTTCGCTTGCCGTTCGACGACGGCGACGACGAACCGTCCAGGTAGAGGGATTTGTAGCCGCTGTGCGTCCACCTGCGGGCAAAATTTTATCGTAATTGTACGTTCTTGATGCAGAACATTCGACAATTTAATAAAAAGTAGGCGCTAAATGTTTTGTTGGCTGGTTGAGTTAACTCATTATACTAGTTACATTTTTAGTAACTTTTTTTCAACCTATTTTAGCCACTTTTTGGCAATGAAAACACGAATTAACTCGTTAGCAGTCAACAAAAACTTTAAACAAATCTACACCTCAATATGTTTTTTAAGAGAAATTTTATTCACCTGTTCGGGTCTTTGGCTTCGACTTCCAATAGTTTTCTGTCCCAAAACACGCCGGAATTGGGGGATTTTCGGGACCTGGCCCTTTTCATCACATTATCTATTTCCCTTCTCCTGCCGGCCGGTAAACTGGGGTCTGAAAATTTTAAGTATTTTACATGTAAATTATGGAGTTTACTTTTAACCCTTAATTCAAACCCATCAATGCAAACATTACTGATATTCAAATGATCTAGGTTAATTACTACAAAAACAAAAATAAATAAAAAGATCTGCCTAAATTTGTTAAAAATTTACATAATTTAATTGGTAAAAGTAACTACCTGTAATTCGAATTGCGACTGGTTTTGTATCCATTCTAAGTTTGCTTTTCACAACCTTTTCCCTACTTCTACTTCTCCGTCTCGAAGACATTCTATAAAATGTCTACTTTTAATAAACAATTCAAAATTATATAAACAATTTTAATAACATGACCAATATTTTATGGATTTGTACTATTAAAAAACATCAAAAATACTATTTCAGTAAGATTTTAGATGTACAAAAATTTGCAATTACCTAACATACTGAACGATAGAAAAATAGCTTTTCTTTATACCTAATTACATCAATTTTCTTTCAAAGACACTTAGTAATGATTATTACTTAATTTTAAAGAAATGAATTGATGTACATAGTCCCAAAGTTGCTGCCCCGCGAATATGATATAAAATAAACCATAAATAATAACAAAATTTCAAAAAAATCTTCAGCAACTCTTGGACTATTTTATAATCATTTACAAAACATATAACTCACTTTAGTCAATTTATTTCGACCAGGTATTCTAATACTTCGTACGAATACGGCAGTCTACGAGGACAATCGCTAAAACCACGAAACGCGAATAAATAACGGTTCAAATAGACATGAGCATTTTGAATGAATACCCAAAAATTAAAATCTCTCGGAGAATGCTTACTATTTAATCATCCCCCGTATTTTCTTTACAACTTAGCATTTTGCTTTGAAATTATTCCTTATCAATAACCATCAGGGCTGATCTAATTAAACTGTTTTTTTATTTAAAAATTTAGTTGTTTTGATTAAAAAAATAAACAACATAACTGTCAATGTCAAAATAATGCAACCGAAAAAAAGAAGAAGGCCTTTTACCTTTCGAGTAAATCTAAGAAGGCGTAAAGTGAGAGAAGGAATTTGTAATGTTGAAAAGCAAAATTAAAATAGATCTAGCCCTGATTTCGTTCCCGTTCCGCGTCGTCGTGGAATACTTCAACGTATAACCGAGAGGATGATACCTCAAATACGATTTAATACCGGCGAAACCGAGTTAATTCGGAGCGTACGCGCGCCGTAACCGAAATACCGAAATAAGTAGGTCAGGTCACGAAAGGTGAAAAGTCACAAATCGATTCTTTTATTAAAATGTTCACAAATCCACTGGGCACTCGTGTTCTCTTCGATTCGAAGTAGGAATCACCATTTCGCGATGAGAAATCGACCGGATAATGACCGGGTTTAGCGAGAAAAGCCATTGAATGTTGCCGTGAAAGGCAATAAGCGGACGCGACACAAAATGGCAGCCCCCGAGAAATCAATACATTACACATAACGCGAGTATCGCCGCTTACACGCTATATTTCACTTACTTTTTATGAACGAAATACTACTTTCGCTCGTGCAAACGATATATGCAATATAGTTTTTTTCATCCAACCTATTTTGCGAATAAAAACAAATAAATCGTACGAAATGCACAATCACTAAAATTTTTCACCTGCCGTAACTGTCACTTGTCACCTGTCAGTCCTGTCACCTTCATCACCGGTTCCGTTTGACGTTTGACACCAGACAACAACCGAAGAGATTTTCATTTTTTTTCTAACGGACGACGAACGCGTTTCTTTAATTTTTTGAGATTTGTATTCAGTAAAGTCTTCTTGAGTTCTTCAGGGACGACTCGGAATACGGATATAAGCCAGATTATATGTTATTACCGTAACAACCTAAAGTTAAAGGCCACAAATTGACGTACATATAAACATAACCAAACATTATCGTTTAAAACTGTCAAAATTATTTGTTTTTATTTTCATTCATCACAAACATACACTAACTTGTACATTCATTACTCATCAAATTTTTAGTGAAGAAACACAAAAACAATGAACCCAGCTGAAGTAAACGAAATTATCAAAGCCGCCAATCTGTATTTGACTCGACTAAAATATTTAAACAACGAATTAGACTCTGCTGTTAAACAAATCGAACATACATTTGTCGATAGCGAGGCCGACATTAAGAAAAATTTCGCAAAAATCAGGGAATCCCTCAACGATGTTATATCGAAAAGGGAACAACACTTACTCGACAAAGCTAGAAGGGTAAATAATTATAATTCACGATTACTGGAAATTTTATGATGAAATTTACAGACAAAGTCGGACGCTTTGGCGCCTTTGAGAGAGTGCCAATCGTTTCTACTGGGAAAAATCGAGACAACAGTGAAGCTAATACAAACAGGAACAACTTTAGTTACTAATAGAGATATAAAAGAATTTAATAACAATGCGAACGTACTCGGTTGTTTACCGGAAGTTCCGGAACTCAAAGACGTACCTTATCTTAGTTTCTACTACGATCCCGCTCTCGAACTGGAATTAATAGATAAAATAGGAAGTTTTGGGGATATCTACAAACACCCTCCCGTACAGGTTGGTTCCCCATCGATTGTATGATTTGTACTGTAAATAATTTATTACGCTGTTGCAGATACACGAAATGATAGAGAAGCCAGGAGCCATTTTAGTTGAATGGAAAATAACTGTAGACAATGAAGAAAAAGTCACGGACATTGAAGAATTCAAGCTGCAAAAAGCCTTCGGAGATGTCACTAAAGACAAACGGCTAATAGCTAATTTCTCGGAGTGTTTCCGAGGTATTATTTCATTCAATTCTTTCTTTATTATTCTTTAATTGTTTATAATTTTAGGTCTAGATTCACAGTATCTGGTGAAAGATCTCGAGCACAATCAAGCATATTCGTTTAGAGTGTGCTGTAGATTTGAGGGCTCTAAAGAATGGTCTCCTTGGTCTCTACCTCAAATAGCTAGTACATCATTAAAGCATTTTACTTGGAAGTATAATTCTAATTACGAGTACTCGAATCAGTACAGGGCTGCCCAACCTAAAGGGGATAAGGAAGATATGTTATGTTCGGACGGGGCTCAGTTTTCAGTAGGACACTCAATAGATTTTATGGTACTGTTTATTTGCTGTAATTTGTTGTATTTTAATAGCATTTTTTTAGTTTTTAGAAAGCGATTCGAATTACGCTGTTGTCGGATTATTGGTACCTTCTGGTGATTTACCAAAATCCCTTAAAGACATCAAAGAAAGTAGTTTTTTGATGAACAATCACGGGAAAATTATTGTTGATGGTGTTGAAAAAGCTACAGTGTTGCCGGAATTCCACAGGGGCTCAAAAGTGGGTAAAACTTCACTGCATAAATAAAAATTTAATTGGAATAAATTTGCTTTCAGGTGACTTTCAGTTGTTGCTTAACAAATGGAAAAAATGTTCGAGTGAGCATTGATAGCGAAGATAAAAGGGTTACTTACGATTGGCCTGTTAATGTGGCTTCTAAAATGTATTTTGTTGGGGAATTTCATTCGTCGAATTGGAAAGTTATGGTGGAATGATTGTTTGATTGGACCCTTGAAATGTACTCAAATTGTCCAGGACAAAGTTGTTTTAATAAAACAAAATTCAATGTATTTTTTATATGCATATTTTAATTAATTAATGAAATTTCCAGTGTACTATAAACCAATTGAATTATGAAATGAATTATAAATTAGGTAAGGGTGTCGTAGAAAAAATATTATATTGTTCTTCGATTTTCTATTATTTTGTAGTTTTTTTCAACTATTCTTCTATTTCTGCTTTTTTTTCGAGTTTTTAATAATTCTGCCATTTTTTATGGACCTCAGGTCGAAAATCGACGATTTTAACGTGAACGGCTTGAAATTTTTCGAATTTCGGCGGGATCGGGCACAATTGGTATTGTACTCGATCGCCCGATAGAGGCACATATTCGTCTTCTATGCTGTAAATAAGAAAAAATCGAAATAATTAAATATTTCAATTTATTTTTTTCACTTACTCGGAAACATGTACGAAAACATCATCTGTACCATCTTCAGGTACAATGAAACCATGACCTTTTTCGCGACAGAATTCCTTTATCAGGCCGTAGAAATTTTTACTTTTCACTATTCTTTCACATCTAAAAATTCAAAGATGACAATTAAAAAAACATTAACAAAACAAGCTTTTAAATAGATTTTAAAACTATTTGCCCAACGAAGAAGTTCGAAGACAAGTAGGCTTTGCAAATTACTCCAAATCTAAAGAAAAACCCTTAAAAGAACCTTTATGAAAACCTTCAAAAATACACTTTAAAACCCTTTAAAAACCTTCTAAAACAACTTATTAAAACCCATTGATAATGACACTTCATTATAAGTAAAAACTCAAAATCAATAAAATATCAAAACTCTTTGAAATCCTTTAAAAACCCTTTAAAATGCCTTCTAAGAAACTTTTAAATAAGTAAGTAAACAAATAAATAGAAAAACCCACTAACAATGATGGCGTTCTCGTTCTCTTCGTAATGATCGGATTCGGAATCAAGTAGGCCTTTTTCGGTGATTTTCTACCGTCTCCTTCTGACATGTTTTCGGATTTTTCACCAGATTTTCCACTAGATTATCCACTAAATTTTCCACAATTTTTCAACGTGCAAATTTTTAACACTACAAAGAAATGAAAGAAACGCCAACTTAAATAAAATACACTAAAAACAAACGAATAGCAAAATGCCGGAGATTCTTTGTTTTGGGGTAAAATTTTCCTTCGCTTTACGGAAAAATTCAATAGAAAATCGTGAAATTGTAAAATAAACACGATAGAATGACTGACTGAATATATTTGACAATTTTGACAGGTAACTTGACAGTTTAGATGACAAATTTGGAATTTTTTTTAAAAACGTGGAAAAAAAATTCTACTTATTTTGGTCTTTTACTGATAACTTATTCAGTATAACAATTGTGCAGTTCAACAAAAAAGTGGAATGTATCGGAAATTTGGGGTTTTTTCGAAATTTGTAGGGAACTGTTTTTTAACACAATGCTGAATTAATGTAGAAAGAACACAGCATTTGCAAAAACAATAACTTTATTTCATAATAATACTGATCATTGATATAAAGATTAACTGGCAATATAATGTATAATATAGAATTATGCAAAAAATGAATGTAAAATATTGTAACAAGATTTAAAAACATGTTTATAGATTGCGAATATGTACGAGTATTATTCTCGTTTTATCCTAGCTTAGAGTAAATCGAAAAGGACGTCGACGATGAAACAAGTAAATATTTTTTGATAAGACAATCCGAATACTATCCATTTCTACAAATAATTTCTCTGAATGAATAGCAAGTCCTTTTCGATTCAAGGGTGTTCAATTTGTACAAAAATGTTAAAATCTACAACAACAATCGGGATTTGGCGTATGAATTCTTTCATCAATAAACATCCTAATAGTTATCGAATAAATGCAAATCTAACTTAACGAGAATCTCCCCGGATTCCACCTGATGCAATATGAGCTTCTTAGTGATGGGACCGTTGTGGTTCTGCGATTCCGCAAGGATATCCTTCACTTTCAGTTCCGCCTTACCCAAAAAATCTAAAACCAAACAAAACGTAAGAAAATCGAATAAAAAAAGTGACGAAAAACCCACCGTCGGGACAGAACAGATTCTGCTTGTGCACAGTAAAATTCAAAACCGCTTGATTGACATTACGTAGTTGAAACTGCATGCTATAATTCCATACTAACGACGGTATTTGTGGAATGCCATTCTGCAGGTTGCCATTGTTGAAACACTCTTTAGCAACATCGGTTTCCTGTTCTTGATTACCCAAGCACACCTTGCAGTAAATGTTCTCCGTATGAGCTCTACCTGTTACACACAAAAAATATCTCAGCAACATTCTCGTACAATTCGTAAATATTCTCGATTAAGGATACTCCAGCTGTAGGTACCTTTTTTGGGGCTATTACCGTTTTCCTTGCGCGTCGTGTCAATAAATTCGTTACCTTCTACTACCGTAACGAACAGCACGTTACGCAACGAGGGCACTGAAACATTAAAAAGGAATTGAAAAAAAAATCGGCTTACCGGTCGATATGAACCGTTTCCCTTTTTGGACTAGCACTAGCAGACGACCACAAGATGGGCCCAAGTGAAGTTCTGCACAAACAGAAATAAACATAGCGAGCGGACACGTATAAATATGAGTAAGAGCCTCCCAATGCAGACAAGAAAGAAAAAAGAGAATCGTTCGAAAAGATCTTTTCTGCTTCGGAAGTGTAGTGTTAATAGTATACATAGGAAAAGTTATGTGGTGTTCATGAAGGAGATGAAAAGAACAACAACACTGGAAAAGAAGGTTCAAAATAACTCTTTTGAAACGTCTATAAGTTACGGATGAAGCTAGATAAACGAATAAACCTAGGTTTACCCAGGTAAAGTGCGAAGTACCCAAGAAACATGGGTAGGATAGGCTAGGGTGGGTTCTTGTTATGTCATATTAAAGCCTACCCTATATGACCCTACCTTACCCTACTCTGTTATTCGTTTATCCAACTTTACTCGTAACATACACACCAAAAACCAATGAATTCACAAACACCACACTGAAGAGTAATATATCTAACATCACAAAAATCTTACGCGTTTTCCTTTTATTTTGCTGCTTGACGGCAAACGTTTTCGAACACATCTCTTTAGCTGCCTCGATGCGCTTCATCCATAAACTACACTCGTTCACCGAGCTAACCAGCACCGCTATTTTATACGTGGTCTTATCGTCTTGAACGATAAACGCCCTGTTGGAATCCGTACCGTTCTCGACGTTGTCCGTACTTACTCTGACCACCACCAAATTCTGAATCAAAATCGGCTGCAAAAAAACGATATTCAATCGCTCGAATAAACCTCATCGAACGCTCAAATCCCACCTGCTTGTACAGCTTATAGGCGACGTTTCCGTTGACTTGGAACTGGAATTGGCCGCCCAGCGCCTTGCTGGCCTGCACCAGCATGAAGAAATCGTTGAACAGGAAGCCCAACAGCTCTCTGTTGTTCTTCAATTTGACCAGCACGCCGTAATGCAGCAATTGTCTCGGTCCCAGCCGGTTCGTGTCGCTGCCGAACACGATGTTCCAGTCGTTTTGGACGCTCTGCTGCAGCCATTTCAGATGGTCGTCGTTCTCCTTCAAGCGCACGTTCTCGTTGATTAGGTTCAGGAATCGCTCGGCCAGCACCAGAGACTCCTGCAGGTTCTTGTAATCTGAAACGACTCGTCGTATAAGCGATTAGAGGTGTGGTGTATCGTTACCTGGATGGTTTTCCGGCGTGTTTTCTAATATTTTGTTGATCAGCAAAGGGTATCTGGTGATCCGTTGCATGGGTTTTATGAGAAATGAAGATAAAGGCATGCCTTTGGTGGCCACGTTGTTTTGGCACTTTTTAACTAGTTCTCTGAAAGCCGTCGAGTTTTCGGTTAGTTTTTGCAACAAGGTGGCGCTGTCTAGTTGCTTGCCGCAGAAGGTTATGTACTCTTTCATCTCCGGCAGCTAAAACGATGAAAAAATTCATCGATCAATTCATTGATGATGTTTTTTTGCTTACGTGTTTCGATATGATATCGCCGATCATGTCGCTTTCCGATTTATTGGCGTTGATTAAATCCTTCAGGAATCGATTATTGCACTCGATGATGTCCTGCCAATTGACGAAGATATCGTCGATGTCCTTGGACGGTACCAATTTGCTCAATCTCAAGGGTTGCTCAAACACTTCGTGCACAATAGACATGTCCCTGACGTAGCTTTTTTCTGTTTGTATGAACTCGTTGATGCTCTCCTGGCGTTTCTTGTTTTGCGGCGGGGATATTTCAGCTGTGCCAAATTTAGTCGATAGTTAAATGATACTACGAGGGATGTTTCCAAAGTTTTGTAGGTTCCAACAGGTCTTGATATGTTTGTGTATCCAGTGCAACATTGTTTAGTCTGATTCACGTGTTCTACTCTATCTAGTCTACTTATCAGACTGAAGAATGTTGCACTGGATAGTTGCAACAACATGTCAATACTTGTCTTTCACTAATATCATTTGGAACTTTGGAAACATCCCTCGTAGATGGGTAATAGAGTACTCACGTTTCGAGTAATATTAAACCTGCGAATGGGTACCGAGAGGAGCAAAATAAATCGATAACAGCGCTTTTTTTAATGCAAGGTATATTATAATGCTAGTGAGTGGAGTATTTTTTCAACAATTCAGAGGGATAACTAACGATGTAATTACATAACACATTTTTTTTGCTTATTTCTACGATAGATATTTGCACGAAGCGACGATTTAACGACTCCTTACTGAAAAGTTCCAATCGGGACAAAAAAAATAATCGTTAAAATCGTTCCATCGCGACGAAATTTTAAAGCCAATCGGTAAACAATTTGGAACCTATTCGAATAAATTAAAAACAAAATTTACAACGGTGGAATGGAAACTGCTAAATTTTACCAATGCAATTAGAACAAACAATTCGATTAAAAACGCAACGAGTAATAAAATTCAGCGTTATCAATCCACCCGTAATATAATATAAATAAATAGGGCAGCGTATAGTCCAGTAGGGTGGTCGAAATGGAACATAAAAAATAACATTCGAATCGGTCACGGAAGCAATCAAAAACAAAAATGCACCTTACCGTTGTTTATTTGCGCGATAAAACACCCACCCTACCAAACAACCGCTGAAAATAAAAATTATTTTTTATACAATAAACATTATCATCATTTATATAGTGTGCTTCGATTTCTTTAAAACCCACAAATCGAGACACGCCGTACGTTCAATTATAATAATACTTAACATAATGAGCAAAATAAAATCACAACGAAATAAATTATTATACAGTTAGAGAATAAATGATCGTGTAAATGGCGTAAAATATTTATAAAGGGACTCGACGGTAAAATGACCAGATATAATAATTTCGTACATACTATACACGCTAGATAATTATTTATATTTTTTCGAGAATATAGCAAGATCAGACGGAAAGTACACACTCGTAAGCATACCGATAATAAATAAACTAAATCTTTGTAAGATTTGAAAAATCGCCTCTCTTTAAACGGACTTTTTAATGCGCTAATTATAACCGCCGTATTCAGAAGCTTTTTTTTATAATCAAATGGTTTTGTAACCAACGATTATATTTTTCCGAATTTTAAACACGGCAACGTTGCTTATTTGAATTTTTCACAAGACGAAAATGAATTTAGTTTTTTGCCATTCTTCTGTCGTTTATAACGCTCCAGAATCTTTAGAATTATCTAGAACCATCGTAGAACAAACAAATTTGCAAATATATAATCGTTGGTAACAAAACCATTTGATTATATAAAAAAAATCTGAATACGGGGGTAAGTAAGTGTGTGTCGTCACTTAGTCCAATGCTAGTGTCCAACTCTAACATCTATTTGTTACATTTTTATACTATATAGTCTCGTTTTATTCAGATAACAAAGTAAGGCAATTTAAAACGGGCACGATGACGTTCGAAAAAGTACTTCTGCTAAAATGTAGGAAAGGTACATACAATCTGTATAATAACAATAATGATAATAATATATACTAATGATACTATTTTTAAGACTATTCAGCTTCGTATGGTAGGATGGGTGCACGAATGTTCCTATAAAAGAAAATCAATATGGAAAAAAAAACCACCCGTCAAAAGTATGATGTGATATGTAAATTGCATAAAATATAGGGTGTTAATTAATTGAGTGCTGGTACTTCAGGATGTGAATATTTGGTTGATTTTAAAAAGAAAAGTTTATATCAATATATGCCCTAAAACTCTTAGCTTTCGAGCTACAGGTTGTTACAATTTTAGAAAAAAAAACTTTTCTATCATAATTTTTTATTACTCCAGATATTTTTATGAATACTTATTGTATTATACCTCCTAAAACTAAGAGGTTTAGGACGTACATACATTATTATATACTTTTCTTCTTAAAATCTTCCAAATATTCACATCCTGAAGTACCGGCACTCAATTAATTAACACCCTTTATGGGCCATATTAATAGCCGACATTCCAATACAGTTAGTTTTTAATTTGTATCGAGCAAACGAAATTTATTCCAAACACTTACATTGTACAAGCGGAGTCACGTAATTGCTGGGAAACAATCCCGACACGCCGTTAAGTTCGCCTCTCCACCAGGACTCTTCCTCGCGCGCCGTCACGCTGATAATATCGTCCTTAGCGAACGTCAATTCGTCAGGATTACCCGCCGTATACGGATAGAGCGCGATCACCTTATCTGCAAAAAGATCAAACCACAATGTTTGTAATAAACTGTTCTAAATAGTTCATGGAGCGTTCTAAATGGTTGTGGAGCGTTCTAAATGTCTCCGAAGCGTTCTAAATGATTCTAGACAGTTCCAAATGATACTGAAGTGTTCTAAATGATTCTAGACAGTTTTAAATGATTCTAGACAGTTTTAAATGATTCTGGAGCGTTCTAAAGGATTGTTAATTGACAAGGATTCCTCTACATTCCACAATTTATACTTCGATTCTTTTAACGAGCATTTCTACGTACCGATGATAACCTCCTGTTGCATTCGAGTAGTGGACACCGGCGTACTCCTGCCGCTGATTTTACCGGAGCTGTTCAACACTTTGACGTAGCTGGCGGGGAACCAACCGACCTGTCGCTTGCGACCTTTCGCCTGCAACTCGCCCTCCCACCAGCCGCTGTCGGTCTTCTTGCGAATCATAATCAACTGGCCCCTGGCCAACGACAGCTGTTCGGGACTCGTCGATTGGTACGGAGCTATCACCGACGCTATTTCGGGTTTCTTCGTTTTCACCACCTAAACAACAACCGTCGCATTAACGAATCCCTCGAACAAACTGGGCGAGACGTGGACGCAAAGCGATTGTTATTATTGTTATTAGAAAAAAAAAAAACGAAAACGCACCTGCCCGGCGGCGGCTTGCGCGTTGGCCTCCTCCTTCGCTTTCATGAAGCTAATCTGCGAGACTTCGTTGTCGGCGGCCTGGGCTTGCGCCAGGGCCGTTTGCACGGCCTCCGCCGACACGCCCGTTGACAGTTTAGAAGCTACATCAGGTGGCGCTGCGGTCGGCGCGGCGGGAGATTCGGAGGCAACGTTAGCGTTCAAAGACTGACAACACTGGATTAGTACGGAAACGCACGAAAAATGGAAGCGCAAAAAAAAGCGAATCAGCGCCTTTTGCAAACGTTTTGGTTACTTACCATGTCGACTTTTTGCACGTAGTTGCTGGGGAATATGCCGACGTTGCCGTTAAACTTGCCGGTCCACCAGTCGCCTTCTTTCTTTATCACTACGATTATCTCGCCGGCGTTGAAAGTCAAATCTCCGGGTTCTTGCGATTGATAGGGATAGTTGGCTATGTAGTATTCCGAATCGGCTTCTTCAATCGCAGCAGTTGGTTCGGGTTGGACGATGCCCATTGTACTAGGTTCAAACGAGCTGGTCGTTTCTGGTACTTCCGGAACTTCGGCTATACCCCTGTAGGATTAGGTTCAATCAAAATTAGAGTTAATCATCTTTCAGTCATCAGTTCGAACGTTTTAAAATGACAATGACGTCACGAGCCAGCCTAGAACTATCTAGGATCATTTAGATTAGACCGCTCCAGAATCATTTAGAACAGTCTACAATGATTTGGAACTGTCTAGAACCATTTTAAAAGCTCCAGAATCATTTAGAACAGTCTAGAACGATTTAGAACGCCCAGAATCATTTGGAACTCTCTAGAATGATTAAGAATGCTCCAGAATCATTTGTAAATGTATCGAACCATTTAGAACGTTCCAGAAAAAGACAAAAATCGCTGGCAAAGTCACAAAAACAACAAATTGTAGTCAAAACGTGTCAACTAGAGCGGAATTTTCAGAGCAATGACAACAACGCATCGGCAATTCAACCTTCTCCTAGTGAAATGGCAGAATTAACATTTGAACTGCGAGAAAATGACTAAAAATTATCATTTTAAAACGTACGAACTTTACAACGGTTTACTTACTCTAAACGTGTAGCTTCAGTTTCTTCTATACCAGCGGCAGGTTGAGGTAATTCCCCGGTATCTCTTATACCCACTCCGTCTACTGGCTCTACGTAAGCTTCGGGGAACCATCCGGTGTGACCGCGAATTTCACCAGCCAACCAACCGGGTTCGCCGGTCTGTTCCTTCGGAACCTACGAATAAGACTCATTAGCTTTCTCAACATAATTAGAATGTAAAAGGCCGATTTCTTCGCTTCGTATAACAGTATAAGTCATAAAGAGTCCATTAGTAACTAGAGCTAACTTACGTTAATGATATCGCCGGGTTGGAACGATATTTCGTCGTTGTTCCTGGCGACGAACTCGTACAAGGCCCTGTACTTGACGATCGGCAACGATGATATATCGGTGGCAGTCGGGGTGGCCGCGGGCTCGGCCCAATCGTCGGCCGGAGGCCACTCGTTCGAAGCGTCGTTGGCCGTCGGACCCCAAGCGTCCGAGCTCTTCCACGCGTCGAATTCGTTCGTCTTGTTGGCGTTCTTCATCTCGACGATCGTGTTGCGTTTGACGTCGTAGACGCTGTACAATTGCTCGCATTCGTTCACCAGATTCCTCAATTCGGTTTTCAGATCCTTCAGCTGGGTGTTGTTGTTTTCGATGTCGGCCATTTTGCTGTCGATTTCCGATTGCATGTCGTCCACCTGGAGTTATATGACGTGAATTATAAACAAAAACAAACCATGGAAAAACGCTTACTTTCGTTTTTAGATTTTTAATGGTGACTTCTTTATTTTCGAAGGCCATGCGGGCTTGTTCGCTGTCTTGGGCGTTCGCTTTGCTCTTGGCGTCCAATTTGATTTTCTCCTGCGACAGAGCCAGCAACTTGGCGTTTTGTTCTTTGAGTTGGTTTTTGAGTTGCGACATTTCCGTCATTTGCGAGTCCCTCGTAGACCTCATGCTGTCTATCGTGGTCTTGACGTTCGATACGCCCATCCTCGTGTCGCATATCTTCTGCGACAGATCCTTTATTTGATCGTTCAGCGTGTTCAATTCGATGGATAGACTTTGGTTTTTAGCTTTCAATTTCAGCACCGTTTCCTGCTCTCTTTGACGTTGATTCTGCAGCTCCTGCAAACGCTGTTTCTCCCATTCCAACTGCCTTTGTCGCTCCATTTCCCTTCTAGCCGCCTCCCTTTGCTCGGCCTGTCGTTTCTTCTCCTCTTCGATCAACCGCTCTTTTTCCTGTTGCTCTCTCATTTGCTTCTCCAGCTCTTCGAGCCTCTTCCGCTCCGCCTCCTGTCTGGCCTTCTCTTTCTTCTCCAGCTCTTCGCGTTCTTTCCTCTCGCGCTCTTCGCGCTCCTGCCGCTGTTGGTCCAGCAGCGTTTTCCTTCTCCGTTCGAGCTCCGCTTGACCCTTCTCGAAGTTCTCTTTGCGCTTATCTTCGAAGGAATCTAATGAGATAATATGTTACAAGTGTTTGTTAATAGGATATAATCGAAGCACTTACTTTGGAGTAATGTTGAGGCCGGGTCGGGATCGGCCGGAGCGCTACCCTGGCTGGATACCGAAGCGGTTCGGGCTCTTCGGAACGAAGGGGGTATGAGCTCTGGTGGAAGTTTAGCCGGCGGTGAAATTCCCACCGAGGCCTGCTCGCACAAATGCATCGCTAATACGAACTCTTCGCAGCCCAAACGACCGTCCATATCCATATCAGACAGAGCCCTGGAAATGGCGTAAGAAATAAATAAACGAATGGAATTAAAGCGGCAATCGTATACCATATTTGTGCTAAAATGTTTTGCGGTAGCTTCGTTTGAACCATCACGTTCCTAGCTTGCGCTCCCGACAAAAAACCGCTTCTGGTGCGATCGGTGGTATTGAAAATTTGCGTGTACTTCAACTTCGTCTGATGCGGTACGGCCCATTCCGGTTGGCTTCTAAAAACGAACATCAATAGAACACGAAACGCCCAAATGGTTTGCAAACTTACGAAGTGGATTCGATCGAATGGGTTCTCTCCAAACTGGTCACGCTGGCGCGCGGCGTCGACGACGCGCTCGTCCTCGGAACACCCTGTACACCGACCGGAGACATACCGGGCGCGGTCATCGGCGCTACGGTGTTTATCGGAACGCATCCCGGGATCTGCGGCAACGTACCGACGACTTGCGCTAAAGCCGTCGGCGCCGGAGGAATCGCCGGTACTACCGGCACGTTGGGCAGCATGCCGGTCGCCAGAGGTGTAGAGGAGATCATCGGCTGGACGCCTTGAGACGGTAGAGGAATGTTAGACGATAGAGGCGCCACCGGATCGATTAGATTCTGCACTAGAGGCGCCGATTGCATCGGCGGTACTATTCCTAAAAGTTAAAAAAAAATAACCACCTCTAATTGCGACGAACGAGTAAACTGGTAATTTAAAAAACGAATCGACCCTTAGCGTCAAACATTCCGTCAAAATTTACGTTAAAAAAGCATCACTTCATATCGAATTCAATTACAATCGAAACGATGAATCCAAACTACTACAAGAGATTCGACCACTACAAGAAGAACGCGCCGTTCGTGTACCAGCAAAATTTCCAAATATCCCAAGATTCCGATCGAATGGTCATCAACAAGACGCCCAGACGCGAGCCGAAAATCGTCAACATAAACAGTCTCAAGAAATTCGAATTGCTCGAAAACCGAGTCAAGAAATACCTGTCGGATTTCGTCAAGACCACGGAGAAACAGGCCGACAACGAACCGTCCGATTCGGATGAAAATTCCAGCGAGCCCGAACAGAGCACGTCGAATGCCGGGTGGAAAAACGATCCCATCGTGGCTTACCCCGCTAAAATCGTCGAAGAACAACCGCCGATCATCATGAAAAGTATTTAAACTATTACCACTAAAGGCGCAGGCGAACCTTGACCAAGACAGGCTCACTGAGGCCTCTGGCGCGCCCATTTCCCATGACTTCAGAGGCCACAACAGTGACTCCAAAGATTCGCCTGCGTAGCACAACCGCGACATCTTCCGAGCAATAATTTCCACTCTTTATTTCTAGAAACGATACCGTACGAAGTAGAGAAAATCCACGACATGCTCCCGACGAATTTGGAAAAGAAAATCAACGACATCGAAGAGAAAACCAAAAACATCCAAAAGTACAATCAAATCCTGGAGGAGCGCTACAAGAAGACCAATGCCGACGATAGCGACAAGTACGTACCGAAAACCAAACGATCGATTCTCGAAGAGGTGAAAAACTTGGAATCCATCATGGAGAAGAAATTCAACGACGGACAAGCGAAGGAGAACAACGCCGACTATCAACAGTGCCACTTTATACTGCAAGAATGCATCGATATGCTCAACGGCACCATTAAAGAGGAGAAAAACGATAACATGGTAATATCAAATTTATCTCGCCACACACTTCCTGCTACATATCCTACAATACATTTCGCAGAAACTAATAGAAGTGCCGTACTCGAAAAAGAAAGACTTAACCGAACCCAAGCAATTCAAAAACTTCCAAGATCTATCAGACGACGAATTCTTCAGGCAATACAATCTCAACCTATACGATGACGATGAACTAGAAGCAGACGATAACGATGATGAGAAAGAAGTAGTCAAAGGTAACATTTAAACCTTTCGTTAATTAAATTTACTAAACTAAAGGCGTAGGCGAACCTTGACCAAGCTTAAGCCAAGGTTCCGGTACTGAGTACTCCTCAATGGATGCCTGTTTATGTCTCAAAGGGCTCCAAAGATTCGCCTGTGTAGCCCAGCCCAATGTGGACACTCTAGGAGTACATAGACAATTGTTAATTGAAGGTAATTTATTATTTTCATAACAGGTTTGAATTACGAAGAATACGCCGAGCAAGAGGAAGACGTCGACCGCGAAATGGCCCGACTGGGTCTACACCCGATGAAAAATGTAGCATCGGAAGACGACGGTCTGCCCGGTATGCCGCAGAGGGCCTACAAAAACGTATCTCTAATGGACGCAGACGAAATTGATGCGACCAAAACGTTCAAATGCGACAAAGAGAAACTGTTCCAGATCAAAGACGAATTGGCGCACCTCGAGCAAAACAACATGCAATTCCTGAGCACTCTAACCAACCTAAAATCCACCCTGAAAATGAAGAATCTAGAAGAGGACGACGTGAACGGGTACGAATTCGCCGAAGACATCAGCAAGATGAACAAATTCACGAAGGACTTCGAGGAAAGCGAAAAACTCGTCGACAGATTGATACGAAAGATCAACAAGCATACCAGATACAACATTTAATATGTCGTTATAGAACTCTTACCTGTAGGAATACCTCCTACGGTTCCCAGGCCCGATACGGTAGGAGGTACGACTCCAGTTTGGACGCCAATGGGGGCGCCGATGCCGGAGGGCTGGCCCACCAGGCCGGGCACGAGCGGAGGGACGACCGGCGGAGCCGCCATCGGGGCGACTTTGGGAGGCTCGGGCCGCGACGGGGCCGATATGAGAGTCGCATTCGGAAGCGGCGGAATGGCCGGAGGCGTGTGAACTTTGAGAGAAGCTAGTAGCGACGGTGGGAGTCCTTTCGGTACATCGAAGCCCCGCAACTTGAGGTTAATTAGTTTGCAAGCGATCGAGAATTCGTCTATGTTCATCTTTCCATCGGAGTCCGTGTCTGCCAGAGCCCTGAAATATTTTCGCCATTATATTATGTGCTATTCATCAAATAAAAATAGTCTTTTTGTTTACCGAACCGTACGACTACCTACCATATTTGTCCTAAAACTAGCGGAGGTAATTGTGATTGTAACAGAAACGACTTCGCCTGGTCTCCAGTTATTATCCCATTATTGGGCTTTAGGGATTTAAATTGCTCTTCGTATCTCGCTCGTTCTCTAGCTAGGATAACCCAAGGGTCAGTCGAGGGGGTTCCGGCGGCGGACATTGCGGCTATACTGGAATATTAGGCGCATTAGCGTTTTTATTAACCGACTTTTTCACTCATTTTTTTACTTACACATCAAAAATTTAACATACTACTCTTTTTAGAATCCTCCCTCAATTAGTTGTCAGCATTTCGACAGGATAATCAATAAAATTCGTCGATTTATGTTTGCGATAAGCGAAATTGGTACTTGGTGAATATGAGAATAAATATCAAAATTGCTTATTATGTCAAACCTAAAATTTGTGTCAAATGTCAACGAGCTGAATACTAATTAAGATGAAGCTCATGTTTTTAATAGTTGCAATCTCTATAGTCCTTTATAGTCAGAGACACCATATTGTCAAAATGATTCTATTTTTGACACTTCGGGTCAATTCTAACCTCAAAATATTTTTAAGTTTTTAAAATTAAACCGAATAAAAATACAATAAAAAATGTCTCTCTACAGGGCAGATAATATTTTAGAAAGGGTCGGGAAATCTTTGGTAACGTGGAAATCTTTAATTATGCACGCTCACCCCGAAGGTGATAATAGAAAAACCGAGCAACTGGAAAAACTGGAAACATTCGTTAAAGAATATAGTGTGATAGAAACAAATTATCAAAGGTCTAAAGACGCTTTGGAAAAACTAGATGAGAAACTTTCGGATTCCACAGAAAAAGCGGATATAGATGAAATGTACCAACAATGCCTTAATGAATTACCCGGAAGCTCAAATTACCAGAAATCTAATATATGGGAGACCTTTCACGGTACATATACTATTCTTATTAAATCGACTGCTTCTTTATTAATACTTATTTTTTTTATATTCAGGTAGATCAGATATAATGGAAGTACATAAGAAAAACAAAAAATTAAAAGATTCCGAATACGATGAACTGGAGGAATCCATGTTTTGTGCAAATGTCTTCACCCCACCCGTAGATCCTATTAGTAAAGCAATTATTACTGTAGCGTACAGAAACAAAGTGTGCGGACATGTTTACGAATACGACACTATAGCCAATTATATTGAAAGTTCCAAGAAAAAAGCGAAATGCCCCTACATTGGCTGCAATAACAATAATTTGAAAATATCTCAATTGAAAGAAGACAAGGCCTTGCAGGACCAGATTAAGCAGTATTTGGAGAACCAAGAAAACGCCAGTTCTGGTTCTGATGAGGATTGATAGTTATTTTATATTTCCTTTACCTAATAAGTTTAATAAATTTCTATTTTTTTAATAAATTAGTCCTATTATTTAATTGTAAATAGGACTCGCTTGACCTTGTTAAAGGGGCAGCACCCCCTTGAAGTTGAAGAATATTTTAGGGAAGTCTCATAGGGGTACTTTCTCAGAAAATCGGCCGAAAAATTCGGTTGTTCACACGGAAAGAATGGATGGTGAAAGGAAGATAAATGTTCTACAGTTAGTGGGATAAAGAAGGCGTTATAAATAAATTTTGTACGAGGGATACATAATTTTATTTTGCATTACACAAAGAAATTTTAGTGACAAAATCAATAATGCATGTAGGAGTATATGTACATAATTTTACATAGTCAATAGATACATACATACTTTTCTAAAAACTAATTTTAAAACAAATTGGTTAATAGAAAGGCCTTATCATCACAGTTTAAAAACAATATACATATTTTTAGATATATCTTTGGATATCCTAAGAAAATAGTTTTTCTGCGAAGTGGTTTATTTTTTATTGATCAGCAAATTTTATTGTACTTGAATTGAAATAAAAGTTTTACCAATATGAACGGACGAATTAAATAAAAATATGACTGACAAGTTCTGATAAGAAATAAAACACCTCGGGAAGTTCTAGCTTATAATTTGTATGAAAAAATAAAAAAGTACATTGTAAATGGTTTCAAGGCATTTTTACATATTGAAAGGTATCTTTATAATGTACATAATAATTAGGTTTGTCCAAAAATTTATTAAGGATAAAACTATTTTGGACCCACAATTTAATGTTTTACCTATAAATTCTTTCTACTTCCAACAATTACTTACTAGCAATATCATTCTCATCAAATTCTGTGTTATAGGTAAATATTCTTTTTCGTAAAAAAGTTGAGAATTTAGTTGCTTAGAAATTGAAATTACTACATTAATGTGAAAATATATAATTCGGGAAATTCGTTCTATATTATATATCAAGAGAAAAACTACTCTAGGCATCTCTAGGATTTAATTAAAGCTATTTTGGTTCTTTGTAGGTATTAAATATGTATATACTCGTATTATTATAATGTATAGTAAAGATATTTTGAATTTCGGGTAAACTGTTAAGTATAAGGAAATGAAGCAGTTAAAAATATTTAGTTTATAATTGACTATTTCACGGCGACGTATGTTTTAATTCTTAAAGCTCAACAATACCATTCATTGACTGACATAATCATAGACAAATTTTAGGGATATTTAAAATATTTTACAATTTTTGTTTATCCTAAGTAAGTATATACAATCTTCTGCGCATGAAATGAGAGATTTTATCGAAGAAACAAAATAAATTATATATGTAGCTAATCGTTTTTAATACTTGTTCAAAATTGGCGTATTTTCGAAATCAAAATTAAATAAAAATAGGTACTCTTGTACATAATGATTTGAGCAAAGATATTTTCGATGTGTAAAATGTTGTTAAGTCCGTCCTGCACGTTGCGATCGAACGACCGGGAACGCAGGACATTAAACGATATGATAATACGAAGAGGTATTTTGAATATTTTTCGAATAAATTCAGCTTTACTTTGGTCTGTTGTGCTTCTTTAGACGATGCTTTTTACACTTTAACGTATATCGAGATTTGAAGAGCGTGTACAGGTAAGAAAAAACGTATTTTTTTAAACGAAATGAACAAATCCATTTTTATGTTCATGAAATATTCAGTCCGCCTTATCGATTAAAGCTTTTCTTGTATTGTTTGTTTTCACGTTTGGTCCCAAGAAAATTTTATCTGGCGCCTCATGCGAAGCTATACAACACGTCCCAAACTATAATAAATAATACAATACCTACATATATGGCATTTTTCTAATTGATACATGTTATTTTTGGAGAAAATTGGTCACGTAATTTTGGACCCAAGGTTTTTGATATGTTATGGAATTTTGTTTGATAAGTTGGGAGTTGTATACGTTAAAGTGTAATTACATCTTTTCTTGATACGTTTGGATTTTAAAAAAATATTTACAAAAGTTCTAGCGTTTGAAATCATAGTAATTCTACAATAAAATGACACAAAAGGATGCTCTACTACAAAAAAACGCTCTGTCAGTACACTAATATTTCGCAGTCATTGGCACCGTTGTAGCTGTTTCTGTTTTAATTTAAATCACACTTTATTGCTTCGAAAATAATTAGCGACAGTACATTTTAATTGAATAGAAGACGAATATACTAACATGCCGAACAGATATAAGAAAAAAGCATTTAGTATATCAAACAACAGTTTTAGTAATTCAGCCGCCAAAGGATCAGATGAACATCAAGTACCTATTAAAATTTGTAAATATACAGGAAGAACTGCTTTCTTCTTACACTGCGACCGCCTACACTCGAACGTTACCGGACAGAAACCAATCGCTCCGTCACTCGTCCCCCATCAGCGTCTCAGTCTCGGCGATCTCGTCGCCGTCGGCGTCCATCTCGCGCTCGTCGTCCTCCGGCGGCGACGGCCCCGATATCGACAGCTGCGGCAGCCCGAAGTGCTGCTCCTCCAGCGATATGTTGTCCACGCTGCGCGCCTTCCTGCACAGCTTCGACACCGACCCGTGCCGGCGGAAGAACTCCTTCGGGTCCAGGCCGGGGCCGCTGTTCGACACGAAGATGGCGCTGTTCATGCGCGGCCTGGCGCGTCGCGGCGGCTGAGCGTGGATCTACATGGGCCGGATATTCCACGCAATTAGAACGATGCCATATCCACGGGGGAGAATGCGATTGTTGCAATTTGCTATTGCAGTTGCAGTATTGTGCGATAGAGTAGAAACGCCAGCGTTTATTAGGTTTCTTTGGATGATTCGTTTATGGATATTTGCCCTTTACATTTGCATAAAGAGAAAGAACTGCAATGACCAGTATTGAAAGAAGAATTAACTCAAATGATGAACTAGAAAGGACAGCGAGTTGGTTAATCCTGAACACAAATTTAATGAACATTTTAGTGATGTTCGATTCAATAAACTATTCAAATAAACCATCAGTAAAGAGATAATTTTGAAGAAAATTTATTGCAATTACCATAAACCTATAGATCATGGCGTATAAAAATATAAAGATATTAAAAAGAACTCTGGGATTTCTAATTTACTGCAAGTGTATTGATTGTGTTCGTGTGATCAGTGGTTAAAATTGAGCGCCTTAGCGGTGAAATATAAATATTCAGTGTTTGATATCGATACTAACACATACAACAGAGCCTACATAATTTTTGGAATTTCACACCGACCTACCTTTTCTTAGTAGTTATTATAGGGAAATTGTGAATAATTTACGTCGGTAAAAACAACCCTGTTCCATGCCTAGTGCTCTACAAATTTGAGGAGCAAACGGATATATTTATCGATCCATAGAATACACATGTTCGTTCGATTATATATTTATAAGTTTTTTTCTTCTTTTTTAGGTCAAGACGATTTTACTTTTTTTAGTAACGAGACCCAGGTATAATGTGGAATTGCCTAAATTAACTGGCCATTTTTCGTGCATGTTTACTCTACCAACTATAATAAATAGCCTTTAAATAAAAACAAAACAAATTGGAGGTACCAAATTCCATATGGACTTTAAATTGCTTGATGCGAACCTGCCTCAATAGACTATTGTTTGAAATTAATTCAAGTATTGGCCTGTTTACAAACGACTTCTATTCTGAAACAATTTCCCGCATTAGGTAACCATTGAAATACGTCCAATTTACTATACAATATCCAATTAATTTTCTTTGTCCGATGAATGGGTCGTTAATAGAAATCGAACAGGACCGGACTCGAATTTCGGCTACTTACCAAACATATTTTTTTTATATCTGAAACTAACAAAACGTGACAATACGGTGGTTGAAAATCAATCAAGCAGTGAAAAGTAGTCGCTCGTAAAATTGTATTATTTTTCTTATAACGTACGGGACCATTTTGTACAGGGTGCTGCGAATTTGTTGCACGAGTGCTCTGGCTAATTGTGAAAATACGGGGGTATTTCGAAAACTTCTTACACGACGGCGCTCGATTCAAAGTGGCGCAGTCGAGTGAAAAATTTTGAATACCTAATCGATTTTATGTACAAAAAGCTTAGTAAAATATTGAAAAAAATGTGATTTGCTGTAAGCTATTCGTATCGCCAAAAAAGCAGGTGTCCATGCAAATTGCTCGTAATTAAGAAAAATACTATATGAAGTAGTTAAATTTATATCTTAGTATACCGATGTTTTAACTGAGTATACATTTACCATTAAATGCTAGGAATATATTAAATCATCGGTATTAAAATCAGTCATGTAAAGTTACACAACTTGCATGGTTCAAACGAATTCATCTCCTCCGTTTTCTTACTGTTTAACATATTTTAATTCGTTTTGTTCGTTTGAAAATCGACTTACAGAAATCGACGATGCCAGATCACTCGGCTGAGGGTGGAATTCGAGCGACGTTGCCAAAACGTAAGGCGACGCGTCGCAGGAGTCGCGGCGGTCGCGTCGCGACGTCGCCCCGTCAGCGGCTAGCTGACTCAACTCCGTTTGCTAGGTATCCTCGGCTCGGTGCAACAGCGCGAACTGGCAACCGCATTCGCGCGACTCTCGTGTCCTTCGTGGGTAGCGAAAGCACTGATTCCAATAGCAGCACCCCTACATATGCAACATACAACCACGGGTGAAATCGGGTCCTAGGATTCTTTGTTTCTTTTCTCACAACAATCCCCCCGGATGACATTGAATTTTTTAGTATGCTGGGGTGTTTTTTTTTTGTTTGCGTACGCCCAATCGTGTTTAGTCAATTTTACCACTGCCAAAATCGCTATAGAGGCTCACAAAATAAACACAGGAAATTAGACTCGACACTTCAACTTTGCTGGTTACGGTTTTTGTAGTATTTTTGGTGTATTGGTTGTGTGGATAAGAGGAAGTTTATTTAGGCTATTTTACCCTTATCGTTTAATAAACAGTATTTATAGAAAAACTTATTGATACTGGACATAATATTCAGCTTCACAAATCCAATAATCTCAATTAACTATTCAATAGGAGTTCATTAGATGGTAGAAATTTTGTTAACGTAAAACTTTGAATTGTTTTGTGTTTTGTTATCGTTTTAACGGGCTACTGGAAGGAGAATAGGTAATTTAATTCATTATACTTACCGAATTTTGGGAATGAAAGACCTAAGTAAAGAGAGATTCAGTGTTAACGAACGTAAAGATAATTATTAAAATTAGATTTTCATACATTTAACAGCTTAAAGTTTTGTACATATTTGATAAGATTTTGCCATGCCATAGTGTGGTTTATAAACACCTAATAGGAGCTATAGAAGGATTACACTTTATATGTAAATACTAAATTTTTGTGGTGAAATATCTAATGAAGGGATTTTTACAATGAATCTATTGATAACTAGTATTTCTCTGAAACTGACATTCGAACCAATTTTTGGACTAGAAACCCTAATAACGACTGTTTTTATAAAAAAAATAATTAATTTATCGATTATTTTTACACAGCTTCCACATCTACGCATCTACTAGATCTAGTTAGAAACGCTATTACCTAAATAATAAAAAATAAAAATGATTCAAAGGAAAATTGGTATAAAGGACTATTCGAATATGGAATGTGTGAGACGAAAATAAACGAAACACTACAAAATGTTAATAAAACAGATTTTTACAAACAAAAAGAAAGCAGAAAGAAGAGGCAAAATGGATAAGCTTTGATCGGATGTGAAAAGAAATATCAAGAATGTTTTGACGGTGGTAAAATCGTTGTTTTGAAGTGATTGATTATAAAAGGTGTGTTTGAGCATTGATTCAGCAAACGTACGTGTAAATTATATAAATATTGTTCGAGGAAACCGTTCTACATCAAAAACATAACGAGATTAGATTCGAGTTGAAACAAAATCGTGCTTGGTAGAGCATGTTATACGCAAACTTCCATATATGCGAGGAAATAAATTAATACAAACTAATTAAACTATAAATATGAAAATTACGGCGTAATTAATGGATTGTTCGTAAACCCGACCAAACACCTTTCGCGTTCACTCCGGAATCCTATAAACTTTTGTTCATAATTAGAATTAATTAATTAACAGTGTTCGTTTGGTGGGAGAATTGAGTAAATTTGGTAGAAATTGGCCACAAAAAAACTTACCTGCGTGGCTCTTAGACCCTCTGCTATCTGCAAACGTTCATAGAGTTGGGTATATCTTTTGCATCATCCAATCCAAAGTTAACAAAAAGTTTATATTCATATTAAATTATGTAGCAAGTGAATGTTTGAAAAAATTGTTACAGGGCGAATTAACGAAACTATTCTTTATCCAAATTGTAATAAAGTGTATAAATATACGAAAGAACTATTTCAATGGAGTTGCTTCGTTAATTACACCATGTACACGATCCAGACTTTTTGTGAACTTCAATAAAAATTCATAGTATTTAAAAATGTATGAATATAAGTTAGAATACGTACAAATCATTTTTAGGAATTAAATTTTCATTTTCCCTTCCGTAAAATTTCCAAACCCGTTCTACCGGGTACGGACTTCGTTGGCGCGGATTTTCAACGACTCGAAAAAAAATCCGGCCGCTGCGAAAGAGAAAAAGCGCGGAAAAAGGAAAAATCGAGATAAGCAAATTGGAAACTTAATTAACTCTCATCAAACGTCGCGTTTCCGAATTCGACCGCGTTACAATGAAATTTTCGTCCGGAATTTACCATCGCATTGTTTCCTTCTGTTTAACGGTATTTTTCCATTGAAAAAAAACCGGATGATAGGGGATTTTTAGAATATTTTCAACCCGCGTTTTTTCATTCACAAGAACTATCGGATTTTGAATAGAATCCCAATTTTATTTCGGTTAATTGGTTCCATTGCGATCAGAAATTTTTCCCGGCCAGTCGAATTTACCCAATTTTCACCCAAGTTTTAAAACAACATTTCGAATGAATTTACGAATTAACAAGAGCTAAGTTTAAAGTAGTTAATAAACTTCAAGTACTCTTGCACGTTTAATCCACACTAAATGAAATTTCCTTCCTTTAATTTAAATTCTCTATATACCGGTGTGTGCAATAACAAGTATGTTGCTTGGTGTCGCATTTCTCGGGCGCTTGAATAATTCCAGGGGACTTGACGGACTTTTACAATATGGGAAAAAGAATGGAGATACGTGAAGCTATTAGGGCGTCTACTTTGCTGGATGCCCGACATTCCGGAGTAAGAGATTTCACCGAATAGTTTCCAGGAGAGGAATCCGGCAGATTTTACGAAAACGGATTTTTACCTGGGTTAAAGAATGGCGCACTCGAGAATTCTAAGTTCTATAAGGAAGAAAATTAGATACGAAAGTATTTGTTCGTTTCGCTGTAGGTACTTTCAAGTCGATTAGTAAAATTGCTGTTTGTTTGTAAACTAACGTAATATAAAAACATGAATAAATCAAGCAGGACGAGACACGAAGTGCTAAATAGTGACAACATTCATAGCATAAATTACATTGGTATATCCAAGCAGCAAGACGTGAAACGTACTAAATTCAATAGGCCTCAAATCCGGCCGACTAGCCGCTCTATTATCAAACCACAAAACTCTCTAAAATCCAGCTACTTGGATATTAATTGGATGCGGTCGTTCTGTTTATAATAAACATTAAAGAAAATCGATTTACGTTCATCAATTTTTTCGTCCGAAGTTTGCGACCTATTCGGAGTCAATGTCAGTCAAATAGCCGCCCATCTCCATCGTTCGATATGGGCACGTACAAATCGGACCTTTTACCGGCTTAGGGCGGCTTAGCAAACGCAGCCGTTGTCTCTTCCGTTTTTTGCACTAGGTTTTCATGTTTATGCGTTAAAAGGACAAGAGAAAAGAGGTGTTTATAGTGTGCACTAATCGATCAAGTCACTAGCGAACGGTTTATTCATAATTATAATATAGTGTGATTATTGAGTGTGAGCAAATTCGAGTAGATAGAGCTGAAGAAAGAGCATATAGAGGGTTTGATTAATGCAAACTATAAAAATTAGTTACCTAGTTAATAGGGTGCTAATGCTTAGTTTAGCATAAGGAAATTCAAAATTTGCGTGTTCAATCGATGCGAGTTTCTGATGTTTGGTATATTAAATACCGTCGGAGTTATTCTGAAATCTGTTTCGTCAGAGCGATTTTCAGATTTGCATAGTTCACCGATGTGAGATTAATAAACGGACGCGGACGGGACGAAAACGCCTCGGGATATTTTATTCTAATCCTAGTCAGGGAGTTACATCGATCGAATTCCGTCGTATAAAATAGAAATCTTACGGGATAATCCGCTGTAAAACTCGTTAAACTTTTTTTTAATAAAAATCCTGTTTTTTTTTCTCATTTTAATTATTGGATTTTATCACCCTCCGGGTCCCGAACGGCGAATTAGCATTAGAATTGCTTTTCGAACTTTATCACAATACCACAACCCCATTGTTTGTTCAGTAATACAGCAAGAGAAATAAATATATTTTTTTATCTGGTAGTATTAAAAAAACGGAAATATCTACTAATTTTTTATAAATAAAATGGCGCTTCTATTGGTACTTCAAAAATATTTTTGCTGTTAATTTCTAGTTGAATTATTGATATTACTAGTCGAAACTTCCACTTCAAATACCTACCTGCTATTAATACCCTTAATATAGAAAAATGTATATACTAGAGGTGGGTACTTCTAAAAATAACTTCACCGTTACAACAGTTCCACTAATAGTGATAACTACATTAAAAATAAACAATAAAGATCCAGTTAACTAGCAGTACATAATTTGAATTTCCTTATATCATCCTGACATATTTCATAGTGCAGAAACCTCAATCGATCTCACAAAAAATAACGAATCCCGTTTAATCAACAACGGTCACGAAGAATCGTGCTCAAATAATAATCTAACGAAAAAAAAATTAATCCATAACGCACACACACATACACGTTAAATCCGAGCGTTTTTTTAAAGGTAGGTTTACCTGTTGGCAGATGTGATCGCCGGAATTGTGCGTGCAAGTGTTACCGGAGGCGACGGCGGCGGCGCAGGCGGCCGTTCCCGGTACTTTGAGCTGCTCGTGCTTGTAGTCGGGCTGGTAGGGCAGCAGCATGCGAATCTTGCCCCATCGATTGAAGAACAACGCTATGGCCGCTATCCAAACGAACAGCACCAGAAGAACTATACCTATTTCTACTCCTCTCACCTAAAACCCACGCCGAAATCTTTGATTAGATACCCTAAAGCATCATCATTTTTGGTGGTAGATCCGGAAATTCATCCAATTAGATATTCAGCCACAGCCGTAAAAAGTTACCGCGTTATTATTCATTTATACGACAGTATAGTAGGAGTTTTCCCGGGTTTCAATTTCCCCGACATTCGAATTTCGAATTTGCCGGTTAGGCGATTAGCCGGGGGTCGAATGTGGAATTTTCGAAGAATAAATAAACCGTTCCGGTTTCTCGGCTTTTCGGGGTTAATCGGATCATTTGCAAACGAAACGGCCGTCGTAAGATGAGGAGATCGGTGAATAACAACGCGAAATTGGTAATAACTCTTTGACGAGTTTGTTGACGCGGGAATCATTGGATGAATAGTAATTAATCCGCAGATATAAAGAGGCAGGTATTTAAATTTACGGTGGAGAGAAAGGAGAAGGTGCCTGTTTAAATTTGAAATATAAAAGTAGATGGAAAGAAAACTCACAAAATTGACCATTTTGTAAACAAATTTGCAAGTGTCTAGTATATCTCTTTTACAAAATAAGTTTATTGGTCAATCATTGTCAAGTCAATCAATCAATTGAACAAGACGTGATATTAATTGTACTATTCCTGGGCAAGTATTCTGTATGTTTGTAGGAGAGAATAATTTATGCTGACCCAATTTGCAAGCTATAATTATGAAATATGGCTTACAATATAGCTTAATTCAATAGCTAGATAATTTACAGTAAAGTGTACGTTTCAATTTGTATAGCAGAAAAATAGTATCATTATAATTTACTCTCACCTATATTACTTTCAGGTGGTTTAATCTTTGTAATTGAATTGGACTAGAAACTTTAAAGCTCCCTGAAGAGACCGTTAAGGTGTTCAAACTTCAACTATCCTTCTAACTAGAACCCATTAAATTTAATCACCCTTCTTGCAATAAAAACGCGAAGGAAACTTCTAAAAGAAACGCGCAAAAGTAGCAAAAACTTAGGCAACCACCTTACTCCATTTCTCCCTCGTCGCGGATGATTAAAACCGCGGGAACAGTTAACCTGAATAACCCATCGACTACATCTCGCGAAATTCCTCCCTTTGTATCATCGGAAGGCGCATTGGAGAGTACTTACCGTCGAGCTGGTTTGAGGGTACTCGACCAAATCGGCGGGCGCTTGGTCGCCGGTCGGCGTCGCCTCCTTGTCCCTAGCGGTGGACGTCGCGACGGCCGGCTCGGGCGTCGAAAACGCCGCGGCCATTTGGTCCTGCTGCGGCGACGTACGCGGCGGTTCTGGAACGCACAGTTCGAGCGAGAATAAGAAAATCGCCATCGCTGAGGCGGGACGCCGCGACGCCGCCGTCTATCCGGCGAACGGTCGGAGACGGACTGATGGGGAACTTGACGAACTTCGACGGCGACGCCACGGGTCGAATCGCACCGCACCGCACTCGGTGGACGAAATTCTCCCTATTTTTTAATTTATGGAAATCGTGCGGTCCGGTTTTGTTTGTAAACGGAACGCGAACAACCGTTTGACGTCGTACTTATATGGTGGATATCTATTGATTGGAGATTCGACGGCCTCGTTAGATTCATATTTCAATGGAACTCTAAATTTTTTAACGGTAGTTCCGGTGGAAATTTGTATGGAGATTGATAGATAACGAAAATATCCAATTGGTATAGTACATAAATTTTATTTTCCCGATGGTGGGTAATTTATTTGAACGTTTCAATCAACGTCAGAGGAATAAAAACGGGCGATATGAAATGCTCGTTTTGCTATTGACGCAACTACATTTAAGGTTGTTTACGATAACAAAGTTAACTGATTCTGGAGGGAATAAGCCTAAAGACGAGGTAACGAATTTCATCCGCAATAGAAAACTTCCGCGCCGTTCGGAAAATAAAAATAAACTTTATCAAAAGGAAAACCATCGCTGATTAAAGAAAGTTTCTTTCAAAGTTTTCAGCGAAACGGAAAAACCTAAATTAACGCCGAAATGTAGCTGGAGTGAGCAAACGAGCCGGTCTTTAAATAAAATTGCATAATCGCGTTATAGAAGTTGTAGTTGCAACTAAAGCGACTAACGTACAAACTCCTGGAGTTCGCTCGAGAAAATTTGCATGAGAGGCACCGTCTCGGTAGAATCTCATCAATTCCAACCTAGTTTGAAACGACTTCACTAAAACTCAAAACGAGTCTGCGAGATTCAATCAAAATCACTCTTGATAATTCGTCTATTATCCAATCCTTTCCAGGAAAATTAAATGCTGCAAATTGAAGTTACCTACATCCACCAAACAAGTACAACAGTACAATTTATTGTCCTGTAGTACTAGTAAGTAAATAAGTATATGGGTTAAGGTGTGGTGCCTTTTCGATTACCAAACCGATAAAATTGTCTCGACATCGTCGCCAAACACTCCTCGGTCTGTCTATATATATATTAGGTATCGAGCAAAATGTGCCACAACTCACAGGATCCTTCCCTTGCCCCGCTAGCCCTTTTGCTCGAATCAAAACAGTCTCTTCTAATTAGTTACTCTTGGCTGATTGTGGTGCAAATAGACCGCAAGTCCGGACCAAACTAGATGGAACGCACTATTCGATAATTTTGATGTAAAATGATAAATATTTTCGTTAAATACCAAGTGTTTAATGGTTTACGAGAATTAACGATAAAATAGAGAATTAATCGACTTTCTAAAAATAGATCCAATAGGTATGCACACGGTTTAATTTAATGTTTTCTGCCGTTAACCAAATAAAATAGTTATTTTTAAAAGCTGTTTACTCGTGCGAAGTTTGAAGATGGAACGCTTTAATAGATTTTGCACATGGAAATATTTAATTAAAATTTACCGAAATAACTTCAATAGATATTCGACAAACAAATCAGCGGTGATGTAAAAGACAGTTCATTCATTTAGAAATGAAATTTCGTTCTATTTGCGTGCATAGATTCCTAAATAATGATCAATTTAATTCAGTATTAGTATTAAAATTCACATTGTAAGAGTAAATCTCTTCATAATGCCCAACTTCGTTAATACCCTACTAATCTACCCTGTCGATAGTGAAGGAGTAATCAATGAATACTCCATAAATGTTTAATAACACTTCTATTAAACTCAAGCAGGAATTAATCGCAAGCCATTTAGGTACACCTGCTATTAATTTATTTAAACTTTCCACACGAAATAATCCGGTTATAGTTTTACAACCACCTTCACTCAAAATGCAGTTAATATTAAAGTCTTACCCAAATGAAGGCTAATTTTGTAAAAGCTTCAAAGGCTTATCCAAATGAGGGTGCTAATCTTACGAAACTTCAAGGCCTATTCCAATGAGGGTGCTAATCTTAAGAAGCTTCAATAGCTTATCACAATGAGGGTGCTAATCATAGGAAGCTTCAAGGCTTATTCCAATGAGGGTGCTAATCTTAAGAAGCTTCAAGGCTTATTCCAATGAGTGTGCTAATCTTATAAAAGCTTCAAGGCTTATCCCAATACCCCAAACTATTATTAAGACTATTTAGTTTTTGGACTTACCCAGAGTGCGGAAGACAATCGGTCGACTTCTGTATTTTTTGCCGCGCCAAACGGCGGCTACCGTTAATTGGTATTGGGTGTCGGCCTTAAGGCCGCTCAACGTCACTGCATCCGAATTGCCCGCCACCAACGCCACCACTCTGTAACTAACAACCTGGTTCATTTGAGCTACACCAGCAATACGGAGCGTTTTTCGATGAAATGTTTTAACTCCACTATGGGATGAGGATGAAGAAAATGTGACCGTAAATTGTTGTAATAATTGGAAGAATATGGAGGGAATAGGGAGCGATATGGTGGGAAGTTATACTTATGAAGGGAATGTTTCTTGGTGATGATAAAAGGGGTAGTAATATTATAGATAAACTGGTGGAGGAACGTAAGACGAGATGAATTATAAAAGGAACTTCTATGTACCAAATGTAGACGATTATAAGGGTGAATAAGTGTAAATAGTTGTAATAAATGGAAGAATATGGATGGAATATAGGATGGAATATAGGAATAATTTAGTGGGGAATTTTTCCAAGTTTTATGATGATGATAAAAGAGGTAGTAATATTAGATAAACTGGGTGAAAGGAGCTGGAGAAGAGATACATATATTAAAATGGGACATTCTATATACCAAATTATAAGGGTGAAAGTAAGCAGGTTGGTTTATTAAAAACTAAATAATTCACTGGACGGTTCGCTTCGGTAGGTTTTTTTAATAATATTTGTTTTCATGTATAGGGGTTTTTGGGGTAGCGTGAACGAACATTCATCGATAAATATAAATTCGTAAATCGCATAAAATATTCGTAATGTTTAACTTTTCCAGGTAGCACATTCACAAAAGACGTCTACCCACGTCAAGCAGCGACTCCGGCCGTGAGAGTCCGCTTAACTAATCCATTTTAATTAATTCTACACCAAGCATTAAAACCGAATCCAATTAAAAATGCACAACAAATCCAAAAATTTCCAGACCGCCGCTTTTCCTCTTGTCGCGCATACGAATCGATCTCGGGATGAGTAAAAGAAAATGCACCTACCGATCCGCAAACTCCAGCTCAAACTCGAGTTAAGAAATCCATCAGGAAAATAACGACGGGAAAGATAATAAAAGTAAAAATAAATTTCGTCAAGTTGATTACCGAAGTTGTAAACTCGTCGTACAGCCCGTTTGTGGCCTAGTTTTCATCCCGGCGCAAAAAAACCCGCGTTAAATCATCCCGTACGCGGGATTTTTTCGTCCGAAAACCCCGTCCGAATTTCGCTCGACGGGAAAACTCGCGGAAAACACACTTCGCCCTTGTCAAAACAAAAACGGAACTGAGCGGATTTCTCCTCGCACATTCTCCTCGATGAGCCGTGTGTTTTCACGAGGAAAACCGGCGTATCGATTAATCGATAGGTCATTACCGATATGTGGCACTTGTCATACTAGAATGCACGGTGGCACGCAATGCCTCCCATCCTGGACATTATTTATTCAAAGATGTTAATACTCTTTTCTTTCCTTTTTTTTATCCAATTTCAACCAATAAATTTGGACTGGTTTTGACTTGGCTCGCGTTAATCTGCCGCGTTTTCCCTCTTAAATTCTCATTAAAAAATCAATTTTGCGAATCTCAAAAGTTTCGACACGTTTTATACTCGAACGGAACCAGCTTGATTGGCAACATTGACCGGCGGTGATTCCAATTTTCTAGCTACATCGGCGAGAGTGGATCAAAATCTAAATCCAATAGCGAAGGCGCGTGTGACGCGACGCTCAAAGCCGCCCTAATAGAGAGGTATACGAGGGCAGGTCGGTTTTTACACGTCCGTTTGTGTTGCGGTTTTAGCAATCGTGATCGGATCGAATTATCCGTTCCTCACCAGCTATTAACCAAACTGCCTTAATGACTGACAATGGGGGCGAATCAAATATCGCAGGCCCTCTCGAAACAATTACCATAGTCGCTCCGATGTTCGTTTGTTAGCCGAGTTACGGTTTAGGATAGTCCAAGTGGGTCGATTGTTGTTTAATTAGGGATTGGAAACTGGTGTAGTACAAATCCTAAATGCGGTTAGTTGTTGTATAAACGCTTTCATTAGTATTATGAACGAGATAATTCCCTTTCTACACTTTTTCCAGTTGTATTTCAGAAAGCCTCAATTGAATTTAAGAATAGTCACTTCCAGAAATCGTCAATAGTCAAAAGGATTTCAACAAGTCCCATTTGGAAAGCAAAAATTATATGACAAGTATTAACGAAGAAGAAAAACTCAGTCCACTCCACAATTTATATTATTTTTTCAGACTTCACTCCGGAATTGAAATAATTTTTTTCTGAAATCGAAATTATTCTTACGGAGCTGATACCTTTATAATTCTTTCTGAAATTGACATTGATGAAAAGCTATAGATATTGAAGTATTGAAGATATTGAAGGTATTGACTTTTCTGAAATACAATTGATACTTTCCGAAATATAAGTGACCAATTCAATTGACCTTACTGAACCCTCTAATGAACTTGGCGTTTTCTGAAATACAGTTGGAAATTGTGCAGTCGTTATTTAAAAAACATGGCACATACCTGGCACCTGTGGGTTTGTAGGTGACGTCGTATTTGTCGGCATTCTCCGAGGATGTCGCCCACGAGACGCGCACGGACGTGGGATTTAGAAAGGTGACTGTAATGTTTTCTGGAACTCCTGGTCCTCCAGGCATCGAACCTGCGATTAAATCGTTACTGTAAGACGAAGTCACCGTGGAAAGCGGTTGGTTTTAACGATTCGCCTCGTCAGTTTCGACGAACCGCCGAGCACCCTCGATATATCCAGCTTTCCACCGGACTATCCAAGCTTCAAGCGCATCTACTTGACATACAACTCAACGAGGAACGATAAAGAACGGGTTCGTGAACTCGCTTATTGCGCCGGGCGAGGGAAAATCGAATTAATAAAACGAGGGTTTCTAAATTTTACCTGCTAAACCGGTACTGAGAAGCAGTAACGCAGTGACCGCTAAGTACATATTAGCTGAACATTGACTCGAATTTTGCCCCTAACATGGCGGCGACGCTCGTTAAACTCCAACGTCAAAAATTCCAGTCCGTTTCCTCGTCCATTTTCACGCCGAATCGACTCCTGCGGACTGTAGTTTTCCTGCAATAAATATTTATTCTTACTTATTGTATTAACTTACACATATGAGATGGATTAGGGAACTGTTGAGTAGCTTCAAATAAGCTTCATTGAGGGGGACATTGTTAAAAAAAAACTACTTTATGCTACTCTGCTTTCTCTATCAAAGAAACAATTTAGTATTCTAATTATACAAGAAGTTAAATAATGTGTTTTATAACATTTTATGGAGCAATAGGGCAAGTCCAGTGCTGTCGAATGTTCGAACAAAATCGAAAACAGCTCGTAATTTATTGAATGTATCTACATTTCCGACCATAAAACGTCTATAAGTCGATACGAGTTTTACAATTTGAAATTGACAAGTTGGCGACTCGTTCTAATCAATAATGGCGTTGTATAACGTCGTTATCGGCGGCCACAATGTGGCGAATTGGCATAATTCGCATATTGAAACGGCGCATTATCGATTATTTGTTTATTATTTCGATTTCCTGCTAATGCTGGCTCATAAATAGACGATAACAATTACTTTACAAGAGAACGAAAATAACGTTGTTCCCGACACTCGACTCAACACCGTTTCACAAAATGCATGTAGCTCACATATTTTATTAAAGTTCGGTTAGTTTAAAAAAAAAACGGGCAGAGCCGTATTGATTTTTTGTACACCCATTAAATATTTTTTTTAAATCCTGTAGGTTTATTAATGCTTATGGATAAGGATGTTTTAGTGCTGTACATGTTCGAATCAGTTTCGGTTATATTTGATAAGGTTTTATGGACTCTGTTTAGTCGATTTACCTTTGCGCAACAGTTTTGTGTGCCATGTTGTTTTCAATAGTGATTGATTATTGGATTACAGTGAAATACTTTCAGGTATTATGAATGTTTTAGTTAATTAATGTTTCCCGATTTAAACGATTTAATATTATACTGACCTTTATTCAAAAATAAATTCCTATCACTTTTTGATGCTCGTCACATTTTAATTTTCTCCGCTATTTCCTGGAAAAATAACAGCAGAAATTAATAAAAGAAGTCAAACAAAAACAATTAATCAACCGCCTACAACTAAACCGGTTATTTTCAGTTTTCTCATCTTCGATTGCTTTATTTTTCATCGCTAATGCACACAAAAGCGTAACCAAACAACGCGCGCCGAATTCGAAAATTTCGATTTAATGATATTAAATTTCCCCTTATTTTTGGCCTCGAATCAAACGCAAAGTTAATTTAATAACTTCGCGAGACCTCCCTTTTCGAGCGGCTTTTTTTGGGCGAATAAATGAAAAGCGCTGATAGTAGGAATTTTCGAACCTCTTCTGGTTCACCAAATTGTGGACCAAACGCCCCACAATACGGACCAATATTGTTTTAGGAAACTTTACTTTTTCTTTAATTTATTAGCTATTACCTACGGAAGATACTAATTAGGTAGCACAAAATAAAGATATTATTTTAAGAAGCAAAATAGATGGTGAAATTTTCATTAATAACGTTAATAATAATGTTATAAAATTTATTTAAAATTGAAAGTGGACTATTATAATTAAAAACGGTCCAGATAAGTGTACATTTAGGCCTATTTGATATTGGAAACATCCTTTCAGTGTGCAGGATGCTGACAAGAAACGTTAGGATAAGAGATTTTAAGTGGAAATCCGAATCACTGGGAGTATATGATAAATTTTGGTTTAAAATCGTATATGTCACTTTTGAAAGGATGAAACTTTGCCCTTTTCGGGGTGCTCTTTCAAAGAGCATTAGGTAGGCTATTTATTAGGGCAAATTGGTTAAAACATATTTCAACTTATAAAATTTATATACAGTATAGATGGAATGTCAGTTGGGAGTTTATTGTTAGTGGTCGTGCATTTACCATTAAACTCCTCAACTGGCTTCCCATCTATAAACTCTGTCGCATAAGAAGATGGTAGAAGATGTAAGAAAATTATGGTAGAATTGAAGTCTTCAGGTGTAGAAAATTGCTAGTACATTTGCACTCTAACAATTTCTACTCCTGTTGATTCCTATTTGACCGCAACATTTTCGAAGACGCCTCGTTTGTTGATGGTTAGGGTGGATCCTGTTTGTTAGATTTGCTAAAATTCTACAACAGTTAACTCCCTAGTTATCGGCACGCATTTTACGCCGGTCATCAAGATTTTCGTTTCATTGCACCTATTTGGAATGGCGGTTCCGTTGGTGTTTACAATTTCGCGTGAACCTTTGTGAACATTATTGGAATTGCAATTTTCCAGACAGAACATTATATGCCATACGATATCGCCATTGCGGCGCATACGATTCGAATTCGCAAATGCCTATTTATAGACGTCGAATCGAAATGTCGATAAAATTTCTCGTCAATGCGAATCATTAAAATGATTGTTTCCTCTTATTTGCGAAGTTGTTTGCAGTTTTAATTAAATAACACCGTTGTATATCGAATGCGTTCATTAAAATGGATATTGTTCATTCGAATATGATTAAAAGCATTTATTAGGAGCATTCGTAATAGTTTTTTGAAAGCATATTTTCCTTTCATGTGCCTAATAATATCTACTTTCATATCCACAAGTTTAAAAAATGGTGAATGAGCCTATTTTATACTTCCACCAATTTTTCCACTCTACTTGCATTCATTATGTGGTGGAAGTTAGCCCCGCCTTTTTTAAAAAATCAAAAATTGAATGTTGTGCTGTGTTGTGCTCCTCATGTGCTATTCTGTGCCGATAATAATTTTTGTTAATTTTGAAAAACAAAAAAGTTATACGTTATTATTTTTAGTTTTAAATTTTGGCGGTTCCGCCATTTTCGTTAATTTAAAAATTGAATATATTATTAAAATGTGTAATATTTGTGCTGTCTTGTGTCGTTGAAGCATTGTGCTCCTTATGTGCTATTTTCTGACGATAATATATTTTATTATTTTTAAATTTTAAAGCTTTTAATTTTTATATTTTAATTACCTATATTGGAATGTCTATCGCTGGAGAGGGAAGCGTCGAGATTGTAGTCAGTATTTATAATATATTCATTGTTACACTACTCCAACAGTATTATTTTAACGCTTATCGTTCCAATATTTTAACGATTTTAAAGAAAAACAGTTCGATTTTTTGTGTTCTACTCGTAAAGTGTCGTGCAAACATTAACTTTTGGTCACATTTTCTGGAAGTAGACAGTTACCAGATTTATATAGTTTTTAAAAAGATACATGTAAAGTTGTCGGAGTTAATGAATTTGTTCATCCTCATTTGTGTGTATATTTTATACAGTAATAAATATTTTTGTTTTATAATTCTTTTATTGAAAAATAATAGTCTCTATTTAGTAATAAAATTAAAAATAATCTTTTAACAGCACAAGAGAGCACGAATACATTTTAACAATATATTCAATTTTTAAAAGTTCACCAAAATGGCGAGGCCGCCAAAATTTAAAAATAAAAATAAAAATTTATAACTTTTTTGTTTTTTAAAAATAATAAAATATATTATCGTCAGAAAATAGCACATAAGGAGCACAATGCTTCAACGACACAAGACAGCACAAATATTACACATTTTAATAATATATTCAATTTTTAAATTAACGAAAAAGGCGGAACCGCCAAAATTTAAAACTAAAAATAATAACGTATAACTTTTTTGTTTTTTAAAATTCATATAAAATATTATCGGCACAGAATAGCAAATGAGGAGCACAATACAGCACAACATTCAATTTTTGATTAACTAAACATTTTGAGGGAAAAAATATGTTAAACATACCTAACTTTTTTAATTTTCAAAATTAAAAAAAAATTTTTACGGCACAAGACAGCACAAATATAACACATTTTATTAATGTATTCAATTTTAAATTTAACCAAAATGGCGGGGCCGGCCAAATAAAAAAAAAAGGAAAAACGTATAACTTTTTTGTTTTTCAAAAATTATAAAAAATATTAGCGGCACAGAATAGCACATGAGGAGCACAATACAGCACAACATTCAATTTTTGATTTTTCAAAAAAGGCGGGGCTAACTTCCACCACATGCATTCATTCCAGTTTTATGCGCCACTAATAAATTATCGAGTTTTTACGGGCTTAATAAATTTTAACAGTTGTAATTAAATTTAGTGTAGCGAATAGAACGAACGCAAAAAGATTTTAATATATTTAAAATGAAAAAAAATTGAATACAATTACGTTTTTTAATATTATTAATCTTACAACAAAGGCACGCGATTAGGTTTTTAAAACACGATAATCGATCAATCGATAGGCGATTAATCATCGCGAGTACAATGAGTTTCGCTAGCGATATTAATAATCCTGCTGCATTGTTGTCTTATCCGTAATAGAAGGATAATTGTGAAATAGAGCATGTTGATGTTATGTCTACATCTGCACCTAAATCAAAGTAATATTCAGAGAGATTAATGATGGCAAAATTACCTTTACAGTAATATTGTTCGATTTTGATTCCCAGTAATCTGTAGATGCCTAAAACAATTACCTATAACAACTTTAGAATTGGCTTGTTTTGTATAACAACCTTGGTAAATTAGGGTGCATGAACGTACAATACTCATAACGGCAATTAAAATTAATATTTATATCGATCGTCAGTCAACACGAGAAAATTTAATAACCGGTCGTTAAAACAGGAAAAATCCATGCATGTGGATGATGCAATTCTTTCCAAATGAACTCGTTCGGATCATAAACCGTTTAACAATAATGTCTGGCAGAAGCGCCGAGCGCACACGCCATAATTCGAATTTAAATCCGACTGAACACATCCCAAACGGATAGTAAACGTTTACTTTTAATAAACGCGGAGAGGTGTCATTAATAAAATTTACCGCTGAAGGCGACGCGTTTGTACACGAGCTGTTGCCTTCCGTTAGAACTAATTTCTCCCTTCCCCGAATTACCCGAAATAATTACCCTGATTCAGTGTTTCCCCGGCTAAGCCCTCCTGACTAGTGAAATTTCTCGGTTAGGCTCGAGACAAATTTAATGCGACGTTGCAATATCCAAACATAGACTCATAATTATACTAACCAGCTCAATTCCGAGGCAATATCTACTTCTCTGGAATAGATAAATACGCAAAATAATCAAAAATATCGCAAAACGAATATTACTTATTCATCGACAAGGTCTAGAGTCTAATTAACTTACCGATGCGAGTCAATAGAGAGCAGAGCGCAACCTCATGAAAAATTCATCAAAACGAACTATGCAGACGACAAAGACAATCAAAATCAGCATCGGTCGAACGCCGGCGTGTGTACAGAGAATGGTTTAAGGGAGGTTTAACCCCATACTATCATGTAGTGAATATTAAAATTTTGCGCTCGCAGAAAATATAGACTATGCATTTTAAAAATGTGTTTGTTTTATAACGCAGGTACCTACCTGAAAAATGTATGCACAAGGATTTTGATTAAACAAACTTATAGAATTTATGTGCTTAATTTATGGGCCAGGTTCTTCTCTAATTACAAAAATATTTTGCTGAACTGGTGCATAAAATCTATATAAATATTTGTGCAAAAACCGTATTTCTTGATGAATGCAAGTTATAACGCTAATTATCTAACTAACTATTTGCGGTATTATAAAGTTCAAATTCGAGTAGTATTTTTTGGAAATGTAATTATCCACTAGAGACAGTAAGAGGGCAGAGCTATAGGCAGGCGTATTGAATTAAATAAAAGTCTAATATAGCCAAAAATTGGGCAGGTGCGAGTACAAAATTCCACGGTAAACACCGAAACTTTACAATTTACCGCAGCAATAAATTTACCAATTTTCCATTTCCATTTCCAAGTAATTTCCATTTCTACTATAACTATATCTCTGCCGCAAAATTAACCGGAATACCGCATTGGAATTTATTATCTATAGTCTATACACCTACCATCGCGGTCCTATTAACGAAATTCTCCTTCTGAATAACCGACGATAGGCAATTTCCTTATTAATTCGATTTTTTATCGCATCA